CCCCCCGATACCCCCCCCCTCAGGGTTTTCTTTGAGGGGGCATGTGGGTTTCTCTCTCAGGACTCCCCCGTGAAGGGAGGTTTTGGGGGTGGTGAGGGGGATTGGAGTGGGTTTTCCCCCTGGAGCCCTCCCTCAAGGGAGGTTTTTTGGAGGGGGTTAAGGGGTGGTGGTGGTGGGTTTTTTCCCCAGGAATCTCCCCTCAAAAAGGTTGTTTGAGAAGGGTTGGCGGGGGTCAGACCTTCCCGTATCAAGGGGGGTTTAAGAGGGGGTAAGGAGGAGGGGGGCTCCCCTCCTGGGAAGTTTGTAAGTGGGTTCGGAGGGGGGGGCGGGTTTCCCCCAGGACCCCCTCTCAGGGTTGTTTGGGGGGGGAGGGGCGTGTTGACTGATTTTCCTCCCAGCATCCTTTTCTCAAGGGGCGGTTTTTGAGATGGTCCGGGGGAGGGGGTATCCCAGGACCCTCCCCTCAGGGAGGCGTGTTGGGAGGGTTAAAGGAGGTTGGCTTGTTTTCCCAGAAGACCCCCCCCTCACGGTGGGTTCTTGGGAGGCTAAGGGTGGTGGTGGTGGTGGTGGTGGTGGTGGTGGTGGTGGTGGTGGTGGTGGTGGTGGTGGTGGTGGTGGTGGGTTTCCCCACAGGAATCCCCTCCCAGGAAGGGTTTTTGGGTTGGGTTAGGGGGAGGGGGGGCTTCCCCACAGCCTTGGTAGTGGGTTTCCCCCCCAGGTACCCACCCTGTGCTTTTGGAGAGGTCCGGGGGGGGTGCAATCCAGGGCCCCCCCCTCAAGCTTACTCAGTTTCATCAGCATCTTTTGAGCTTTGGTATTTGGTTTTGCTCGGGTTATTTTTTCTAGCTCGGGCGCCGCCGTCTCCCGAGGTTAAGCCTTCCAGGCCCCGAGCGATTAAATTACCCCCGAGGCGCGCGCCCGAGCACATTCATGCGTAGTAACAGCATCATGTGCCAGCATTCCATAGCATGGCATAGCATCTAATAGCATATCATACCAACATATACAATAACAGGTCATCGCATGCAACAGCTCATCTTCCACCTCATGCACAGCTCATCTTCCACCTCATGTTTCGACGGCGCGCGCAGCCGCCGATCAAAAGCCCCACAGCGTCGCGTACAGTTGCATGTTGTTGGATGTTGATGCATCTTGCGATGAGGTGTTGTTGCTTAGCGTCTCGCGCAGCGGGTTCTTGCCCACTTCTCGGCGCGACACGCTGACCGCGCCCCCGTTCCCCAGGGGCGTCAACGACGACATCCGCTCGCACGGCATAGCGTGTCACCAGGGCCGCCGCCGCGATTCGCCAAGCAAGAGTTTCTCACCACATGTTCCAGATGCCCGAATATACCTGCTGGTGCTGTGGCGTGGGCTACCTTGTTTCTTGTAGGGTGCCTGTTGGTCGCATGTTGTTATCAACGCGGTCACTAGCTGCCGGCTACGGTCATGCAGAGGAGGAGGAGGAGGAGGAGGAGGAGGAGGAGGAGGAGGAGGAGGAGGGGAAGGAGGGGAAGGAGGAGGAGGAGGAGGAGGAGGAGGAGGAGGAGGATTCCGGGCCCCCCCTCGAGGGAAGCCCGAGCTCCGGCCTGCCGCCGGGGTCCGGCCGCCTACCCGGGGCCGACGACGACGACGACGGCGACGGCGACGACGACGAGCGACGAGCGGCGAGCGGCGAGCGACGACGAGCGACGAGCGACGACGAGCGACGAGCGACGAGCGTGGTCTCGACCGCGTCGCCGTTTTCGTTTCGTCTCGTTTCGCCGATCGGCGCGGGCCCCCAGCCCCACTTCCCCCCCCCCAAAAGGGACCAGATCCTGGCTGCTTTGGGCGGCAGGTTTTGGGTAGTGGTCAGGGCCCCCACCCCCAGTCTGCTTCCGCGAGAGACCAGACCTTGGCTGCTTGTGGCGGCCGCTTTCGACGAGTGGTCAGGGCCCCTCCCCCCCGTCTGCTTGCGCGGCTGGCAAGAGCAGGTCGACGAAGCACCGGCCCAGATCCAGACCTCCTCCTGCTCCACTCCTCGGCCACATGCCGAAACCCAGAATGCAAGATCGCCCACCACTAGGAAGAGGAGGAGGAGGAGGAGGAGGAGGAGGAGGAGGAGGAGGAGGAGGAGGAGGAGTTGCGGTGGTGTCCCTGCGTGGTTTCGGGCCCCGCTCCCCTCTCGGCCGGTCTCTCCGCTCGTGGCCTCTCCTTGGCCCTCGCTTCGCTTCGCTTTTCGGGCCCTCGTCGGCCCCTTCGTCGCTCCTGTGGCTCTCCTGCGTGGGCGCTGGCGCTCGACTCCGGCCCACGCCCGAAGAAGTCTAAACCTTTTTGTTGCCCTGCCCCGTACCGCCCTGTTTTGTTCGAGCCCGGGTCGCCGCTGCGCGCATGTGGGAGCCTCGCCTGACCGCTTCAGTTCCACGAGCCTCACCACCTCGCCTGTTCACGTGTTCCGCAGCACCGCCCGCCGATTGGATTCTGTGGCGCGGCCAAGGAGCAGTGTCTGTGTGTGGCTGTCATGGCTGGGGCCGTGAAGGAGGAGGAGGACGATGAGGATACGGAGGATGGATCAGAGAGGGAGAGAAGGAGGACGAGAAGGTCTTCGCGGACCTTTCGCAGTGAGAGCATTTTAGAGGACTCTTGGGACTGTCTTTGGGGCTTGTGTCCTTTGGGGGTCCTCTTGGGACTGTGTCGGGCCCTCTTGCGGCTTCTTTGGAAGATCTTGGGGTCCTCTTGGGAGCATTTGGGGGTCTTGAGGCCTCTGGGGGGCGATATTGGGCCTCGTGGCTCAGAACGGGGTGGGCCCCCATTCCACTCGGAAGTCGAACAGGTCCCTCGTTTGAGCATCTTGGGGCGCTCGGGCCCTCGGGCCGGCCGGAGGCCCTCTCGCGCTCCTGGGGTCTCTCGGGGGCCATCTTCGCGGGCCAGACCAAGCCGAGCCGTGCCGATGCGCATGGCTGCCATTTCACAACATACAAGCGCCCTGGTGCTGGGGAATGACCAGGGATCGGCGTCGACTCGCCACATGGTGTTGCTGTGCGTCGAATGGTGACGACAAGGTGGCCCTTCAAAGTTCGGTCATTGACAACAAACATTCAAACACATGATTGTTTTATTCGATTAGCGCGTCGCTTGCTTAGACGGCAACGCCCCCATACTGCCTCAAAACAGGCCCCCAGGGGCCAGACTCGATGGCTCCTGAATTATTCGCGATGGTCTCAACAAGAGGCCCCAAGAAACGCCACAGATCGCCGAAGATGGCCCAACACGACCCCAAGATGAGCCTGAGAGGCTCCAAGGCTGGCAACAGAGTCCCCAAGACCAGAGTGCCCCGGGATGGTTCAATATGGCCCCACCCCACAGGCAAGATGATTTCCAAGTCGCACAAGATGGCCCCACAAGACGCCGATCTTGCACCAGCGTGCCCCAACACAAAAAGAAACCCACGATGGCCGCAGGAATCGAAGCATGAACAAACATAAACATAAACTCAGGAGATCTGCGCGGATTTCTTGGATCTTCGCTGGACCACTTACTTTCTGACACCGCGCGGACCGTCCAACCCTGCACGATCGGCGGCTTCTCGATCGCCAGCTCTTTCCAGGTTGGCCGATTCCGGGCAACCGGCGGCGCTCCACCTTGAACGCCCCCGAGTACCTGGAGACCGGGACACAGACTAGCCAGGAACATTGGCATGTCGGGGAAACGGCACAATGTCTTGCAGAGTCAGGTTTGGTCGTGCAGTGCAGGTGTTTTTTGCGTTGATTCTCTGCAGGATGCGGGTCCTTGTCCGGGTCCAGAGGGTGTTCTGCATGCTTTCAGGGCATGTGTCCCGAGTTATTCCAGAAGTGTTGCAGAGCAGCTCTTTGTCGTGCCGCATCCGGGGAACAATTGTTTCGAGGGGTGTTAGATGTCCTGGTCGAGCGTGACCGGGTCTACGGGGCCCGGAACGCCTGCGCCTGGGTCGCAGCCGCGTCGACAGGACACGAGCCTACCGTACATGGTGCGGTGGGGGCCTTTGGTTAAGGAATGTGCCCTGGAGGCTCCAGACCTTGAAGGATTCCTTACCTGGCAAAGGCGGCGACGATTTCCATGGTCAAGCCCCAATGGGTGTTCGACCAGCTTCAAGACCCTGGATTCCTTATCTAAGGGTTCCTTATCCAATGCCTTCACCGTAGGTCAACGTTCGGTTTGGCACTCCAGCCGCTCGGAAGGCCTTTCCCCCCCGCCTCCGCGCGCTCGAGCCCAGGTCGCCCCCAAATCATGGGATGCCTACCTGGACGGCCCAAGGTGCCGCCAAGGTGGCCCAGGAGGCGCCCGACGCAGCCCCCAAAGACAGCTCTGAGACAGCCAAGGCGGGGTCAAGTCAACGGCGCCAGGCTGGCCTAAGACGGGCCCAAGACAGCCCCGAAATGGCCTTCTTGGGCCCCTGGCTGTCGCCTTGCATGCCTCCTGGGGCCGTCATGGGCAGTTGTTGCTTAGTTGTATGGATTGTTGCTTGTTTCTCTCGCGCTTGGAGCGCTGCCAAGGCCTTCAGGGCTCTCCCAGGCAGTCTTCAAACCACCTTGGGCCGAACAACATTGAAGTAGAAGTAGCATGTGCTTCCCTGCATCGGGCGAATTTGGACTGTTGCCCGAAAGGTGCTTGCACTTAGGGGGTCCCGATCGGAATTTGCGCATGGTGGGGTCTACCAGGGTTTCGCATGCTGCCCGGTGGGTGGCCGTCTGTGGGCGCCCCGTATGTTGGGTGGGCAAGCTTGCATCCTGGCCCTGCCGTCGCCTTTCTGGATCAAGGATTATGCTTGAGTTCCGTTCGGCAGCTCCATATTTCGCACTCTACTCATACTTCTGCGGGTCGCCGCTGTGCATTGCATGATTATTATTCGTGCTTACTTCCTGGTCACACTGTTGCTACCCGCGCATGCCATCAGCATCCGGAGATCAACCTTTAATGAATCGATTGTCGATGGCAGTGTGAACGGGGCGGGCGCGGGGGCGAATTATTACTCGGATGATCGTGCAATGAGCGGAGGTGGTGTGACGATGGTGTACGCCGAGGATAGTAAGGCGTACTGGTCCTCCGCCCTGGGCCAGATGAACAGGGCGGGCGTCACCCGGTATCAGGCCGAAGCCATCAAGAAAGCAAAAAGAGAGGATGGCCAGTTTTTCTGGGCCGACGCCTCCAACCGCCAGCGGAGGGAATTCTTTTCTGGCCCGACGGACCTCATGGCGAACCTTTCTTGGGGTTGGCATCACCCGAGCGGCGTCTACAATACCATCCCGGTCGGCAGCCCGCTTATCGACGACCAGCTGAACATCTACATCGGAGCCGACGACGCCATACGGAAGTTCGACGTCACTGGCGTGATCAAGTGGAGCTACGCCCCTCGAGGTCAGCTCGCGGCGGCACCCAGCCTGTGCGTCGCCACCAGCCGGCGCCAGGTGGCCTCTGAAACGGACGGCGTAAGAGGCAAGGATGCGGAGGAGAAAAACCTGCAGCAGATGCTGCGGCCTGTTTGGGCCAAGGGCAGCGAGTCGGACGGCTCCTCTCAGCTCGTGGATGATTTCAAGGTCGGCGACCTCGTCAGGGTGAAGCCGGGCGCGAGCTTTTGGGCGGACGGCAGGGAGCTCTACAAGGCTGGCGACCAGGGGCGGCTCTCCAGCGTCGCTCCAGACAGTGAGGGCGGGGAGGGCAGGGCCGTCATCCAGTGGACGCGCACTGGGCGCAAGAGCGTGGTAGAGATCCACGCCATCAAAAACCGATTCGTGCGAGTGGAGGCGAGGCAGGCCACGCTGCCCCCCATGCTGGTGGGGAGCACCACCTCCGGCTACGTGTTCGCGCTCGACCTCGACAGCGGAGAGGAGATGTGGGCGACCTGGGCCTCGAACGAGATCGCTGGCGTCAAGGGGGCTGTGGGCTGCAAGGGGGGAGTCGTGGTGGTCGCCACCGACCGCTGCACAGACCGGTACTGCTACAGGTACCGCAATCAGACCAACCCTCTCACTCCGGGCAATCAGTACGTCCGAGGCCTGAGCGCCGTGGACGGCACCGCCCTCTGGGAAATACAAGACCTTCCAGCCTGTGTGGAACATGGTTCCGCAGTGGGGCCCCGACAGCAGCGTCTTCTTCCAGGACTGGGAGGGTAGGCTGTATGGCTTGGACTACTTGACTGGCAGCCAAATATTCAGGGTCGGTGGCGACATCGGGACGCACACCCATGCACACGCTTTGTACGACCCAGGCCACAACGTCGTCATTACAATGGGCGTGAAGTTCTATACCTCGGGCCGTTGCAACCCTTACCCAGCACCTGGCATCCTTCCTTCGTGTTGGACGTGGCCGGGCACACCGGGCTTCATCCGCGGCTACAACGCCAGCTCTGGCAGGAAGCTCTGGGAGACAACGACGCCAGAGCCGCCAGCCAGCGCCGCCATCGGAATGGTCAACAGTCCAGAGTTTCACACCCGCTTCGTGGTCACCATGGGCCACAACTGCTACATCGGGGCCACCTCCCAGATCTGGGCCGTCGATCCCAACAACGGCCACCTGCGGTGGAACCTGGACGGCCCGACACTGTGGACCTCCCACTGTGCTGGCGACAAGGAGGGTGCCGACATCCGCCGAGCCATGGGCGGCCGTGAAAAGTGCCATCCGAACAGCTGGTCCATGCCCGCGATCGATTCGTTGGGCGACATCTACGTTGGCAACCAGGTCGGCGTGCTGGAGAGGTACGGCTCTGCGAACCCGGGGCCTCCAGGCTCTGGCACTGGCAGCCAGACCCAGCTCCTCTCCTCACTCACGACTGGCGTGGCTTTCCAGGATGCAGCCATCGCGTTCGGCGACGGCGTCATGGCCGTATCCACGTGCACCTCCATGATCGTCTTCCGGTCCTACACAGAGTCGTTCCCGAGGAGCGGGACGGACGCAGTCTCGCACGACCAGTACTCGCCGAGTTCCGGCATGGTCCATGGCGACGAGATGTCGCATACGATCTCTGATGAGAGTCATGGGGATTGGTCCGTGACGCCGAAGGTTGATTCAGACGATATTTGGTCTAATGATCAGCCTTTCTACGATCCGAACGTTGACGGTCATACTTACAACCGGAAGAGTGCGGAATCGTGAGACTAATATTCAATGACTCGACCACAGACGGTCCTAGGCCATTCGCAAGTAGTGCTGAATCCAATTCAATCTAGCTGCAGAGGAGCATGGACTGCTGTGTGGCTTCCAACGAGTAAAACGAAGCCATCACCGATCTCACGGACCCAGGGGGTGTCGGCGGCGCGCCGAGGGGGGAAGTGAGATTGGGTAAGCCTTCTCAGAAGGCTGCGCGGCTTGTCAGAAACCCTTTGGACTTCTGAGACAGGGAAACGAACAGTGACATAAACATAAAACTCGGAGGTCCGCGCGGATTTCTCGGATCGGCGTTCGACCCCCCTCCCTGGCGCGCGGAGCGCGCCAGGGGCGGCACCGGAGGCGCCTCCAGGGGGTCCAGCGCGGATCCGAGAAATCCGCGCGGATCTCCGAGCTTTTATTTTGATGCCATTCTTCGCGTTCCCCTGGACCTGTCAGCATGTCCTGTGGTGTTCTGGGCAGCGTCCGCCAGAGCACTCTGAGCTCGGATCGCCCTGCTGCTGCCCAGCTCGCGTGCTTACAGTCGGGGCCCTGAAGAAGGAACCCTTTTCGTTGGGAAGGGGCTGGGTGTTCCTTGAGTGTTTCGCAGCTTGCCCAAGGCTTTCCTTCGGCTTCCGATCGGAAGTCGAAGTGTAACTTATGGAAAAGAGGGGCCTCGTTCCTTATCTAGGGTTCCTTAGGTCAACGCCCCTACTGTACCCATCGGTCGTTGAAAGTAGGTATTCTTGGATTCCCAGATTCCAATCTACTTTTGGGGCGCCTTCCTGCTTCAAGGATCGACTGGCTTCCTTCTTGCCTCCTCATCAGGGGGCGGGCGGAGGCCCAATCTACTTCCAGTGCCCTCCTACTTCATAGTTCTACCTACTTCTTCCGACCGATGGGTACAGGTCACGGCGCTGGGGCAGGGACCCCTTCGGGCTCAAGGGGGGGCGGGGGGGCTCCGGGCCTCGGCCCCCTTCCGCGGAGGCCCGGGTCGCGGAGCCCCGATCGTGGCCGGAGGCTCGCCGTGGCCGGGAGGAGCGCGCCGATCGTGCCTCGCGCGGCGCTCCTTTCCCTGTCGGGGGTGGGCAGGCCTCCTGCCCTGGCACGTCGATTGAGGAATTGGCCGTGTTCGGTTCGCGAGAGGGAGTCGCGGCCGGCCTTTTTTTGCGGGTCCAGGTCCGTCGGTTTCGGCCCCGGGCCGTTGTCACCAGGGGGAGGTCTACTAAAGGGAGGTTTGTCCACCGCCGATCCTGGTGGCGCGAGGGCTGTGCTGGAGAGGGCACGGAGGCTCGTGCACAGGTCTGGCGGCGCTGCCGCTCTCGCACGCGCCGCCGTGCGCGGGGGCCGATTCTGCAGGGTGGGGGGGGGGGGCAGACGAGGCGTTCGCGGCCGGCGAACGGCGCAGCCGTCCACACTCTCGTGGAGGCCTTCTGTCGAAGAGCAACGACGCCATAAGCATAAACTTTCGGCGCTCCGCGCGGATTTCTTGCACCCGCGCTGGCCCCTCGGGCGGCGCCTCCGGCGCCGCCCCTGGCTCGCTCCGCGCGCCAGGGAGGGGGGTCTGGCGCGGACCCAAGAAATCCGCGCGGAGCGCCGAAAGTTTATGTGTATGTTTTTTTCTTTCTTACAGTGGAGGCCTTCTGGGGGGGTCCAGCGGGGCGGAGGTGCATTAGGACCCAGACGAAGCTTCGCGGCTGTTTCGGCGGCGTTGCCATCTGCGCAACCGTCGCCGCTTTCGTGGGCTCCTGGGAGGTGCAGTGGAGCAGGAGAGGTAAAGGGGGGCGCCCAGGAGGTGGCACACGCGACGGAAGTTCGCACCCGAATTGTTGCTTTTGACAGTCTGATTTAATTGAGCAGCACATGCACGCAGGGACTCGTCCCAACAAATGAGTGCATGTTGGGTTTCATGTGCCCAGGGCCCTAACTATTTTGCATCGAATGGCGCGGAAATATGAGTAGCCAGATTTTGAGAGCCCTACTCCGATTGACGCTCATGGGCTTCCAGCAAGTAGTTTTCAATCAACGTGGACTGAGCCTGTAGATGCATAACACGGCTGTCCTGTGCATTCGTAGACGCACACGGAGAAACAGGTTAAGGGTTAATAAGCCGTGCACTTGGATATGGAAAATAGATATGCAGGGGGAGTGGGTGAGGGGGGAGGAGAAGGATAGGAAGAGGACGAGGTGGATGAGGATGATGGAGAAGGAAGATGAGAAGGAAGGCTGATGATCCCCTTCATCCCTTGTCTTCCAAAGAACGGCAGGTCTGCGCCGTGTCTACCAAGCGTCGACCCCAGCGCGGTCGTTCAAGGTTAAACGCCGCCCGTGGCCCGGAATCGGTCGACATCGAACGATCCGCGCTAGCCGCGATCGTTCGAGGCTGAACGATCCACGCGGTGTCAGCAGGCAACTTGCCGTACCTCCTTCCTGCTTGTCCGCCTCTCCGTCTCTTAGCCCACGCTTGCTCCCTCCTTCCCGCTTCTCATGCTCTCCGCTCGTCCTCGTCTCCCATCCGGGGCGCCAGAGAGTGGACGGAGGTTCCACATCGTGTTCGCGGCAGGGGCCCATCGACCTGGGTTCGAAAGGCACCGTCGAGCAGATCCATGCTGCCGGCTGCGCCTGCCTGCGGCGGTGGGCGCCAGTGGAGGCAGTGCCGAGTGCCACGGGGAGAGATGGCAGTGGGCGCAAGCGATTGACAGGAGCAGTGTGAAGTTCCGGTGGTGATATATCAGCATGAATTTGGTGAGTCGATTTCTGTGCCCGTTCTCTACTGCACGTTTCCTATTACTCCCCACAGCCATGCGCAACGAGTTCGTGAGGACCGTGCCGAAGTCATGATCTTGCGCGTCTTGTGTGACCTGTGGGAGCCGTGCAAGCGTTCTGGAGCAGAGCATACTTGCAAGGCTTCACTGTTCGGGGTTCTCGTCCGCGACCACGCTGGGTGGAAGTGAGGGGGCCCGGCGGGGGCAGGGGGCGGGCTGGGGAAGAGGGGTCATGAGACGCCTCACTGGGAGTATTATACTGGATGCTTCGTATTTCCGTGAGCGGGTACTATGAACAAGAACAGTGGTTTGAAGCATTTTTTTCACAGCTTGCGCTGTGGCTGAAACGGGCAGCCTAGGATCAAACGTGCTAGAACGAGGGAAAAAAAACACGCGCGACAAGAGCGGGCCTGTACACGCATGCTACCTCCCTGAAGGGAAGAGGAGGAGCAAGGATGGGGCAGAGAGGAAGAGCGAGGAGAGGGGGAGAAGAAACAATGCTTATGGGGCACCATTTATCGGGGGATCGAATTGGTGGTTCACAACAGAGCGGCTGCCCCGCTGCCGTGCCCCAGCGTCTGATGATGAGGCCTGCCCCCTTTCGCCCGCGGCCCCCTCTTGCGGGCGCTGCAATCCGCGGCGGCCTTTCGGGGCCCCGAACGAGGGGGGCCCTCGTGGCCTCCGTGGTGAAAGGTTGTGGCTCTGGCCGCTGGCTGCTGCCTGCACTGGACGCCTGCTGCGCCTCTCTGGTGCACACTTCGCGGGTGACGGGGGAGTGAAGGCCACATGGCTCGCCTTGCGGCCCTTTAGATGGCGGCATTTGCTCAAGCAGCTGAGCCTTGCAATATCACTACTGCTGAGATGTGCGCGTGGGCAGAGCTTCTGGAAGCCTCGAAGCCCTACACTCTGAATGCGGTCCGTAGATCCAGCAGCACATGAGACTGCTTCCTCTAGCGAGTCTATCCAGGATGCGAATGTCATGCCCTCTGCGATTCACGGAGAGTGGATAGAGAGCCAAACTGAAACCTGGCCATTCTGCTGCGACCCAGCGGGTACTGCAGGCCTCGGCGATGGCACGGGTGCGGCACGGCTCGGACATCCGGCACTTTTGCTGCCACACCCACTGGTGAAGCCTTGCTGGTGGCTGGTCGGCCCGAGGAAGTCCGCCAGCGTCAGCCCCAGGACCCACAGGGAGACTCCTCCTCCTCCTCCTCCTCCTCCTCCTCCTCCTCCTTTCCCACCTCCTCCTCCTCCTCCTCCTCCTCTTCCTCCTCCTCTTCCTCCTCCTCCTCCTCGCAGGAGGAAGAGGAGGGGTGGCCGCAGGGGCGCGGCTCCCACCAGGGGCTTCATGGCAGGCGTGGGAGCAATGCGTGGCCACGACGGGAGGGCTGCCGCGAGAAAACTTACAGACCTGGCTAGCAAATGACTCGGATTCCAGGACCTCTGCTTCCGCGGGACCACCGCACTGCTGAGCCTCCGCTTGGCGATTATGTCAGCAATGCCGCTTTCCAGAGCAAGGAATCGGTCCCTGAAAAAGAGGAGGAGGCTGTCTAAGCCATGGCGCGTTTTCTGTGTGCGTATTGTGGGGAGGGTGCCTCCTGGATGCACACTGGGGCGCACAGCTCCAACCCAGCGCAGCCCTTGCGCAGTCGTAGCCTGGCTTGGCATGCGTAAGGATCGCTCCTGGACGGTCCGAATGGGCAGCGTACCTCGTGGCTTCCCCAGTCGGGTGCCTCTTGGGCCCGAGGGCCGGCCACGTCCGCAGCACCGCCCTGCTCCGTGGCCGGGCTGGCGCGGGCTTTGCTGCATCTGCACGGGCCCAGGGCCTGCGAGCTGGCCCGTCTGCCGCAGGCTGGCCCCTGCGTGATTCCGGGTTGGCCTGCTGCATGTTGCCGCGTTTCTATGCCCGCGAATGGTAACACTGAAACTAAGCATCGAAACTATGGGTTCGACTCCCAGTTATCGCTGTTTTATCCTCTGGCGCGTAGCGGTCGCTGCCTGCCCCTCTCCCCCCGCAAGGTGACGATCGTACGTGTGAGGGGGGCCTGGGCCCCCCTCCACATGCTGCTGGTGCTCGCGCTCATACCATGGAGATCGAAGCGCACCCCCGCCCCGACGTGCCCCACCACGCCCAAGCGTCACAGTTCCCCCCCCCCCCCGGGGGTAACGACCGTTACCCGAATCATGTTAATCGATCCCCGGGCGCCCAACCCTTCGCAGTTCGCAGCGTCCAGGCAGCGCGAGCGGCGGGAAGGAGAGGAGCGAGGAGGCAGGGAGAGGAAGGAGAGGATGGAGATCCACCGCAGTGCTCGACAGAGAGCGAGAGCCCGGCCAAGGGGGGGGGGCTGGGAAAACCGCAACCCCCTCTCGCCTTCTCTTGGCGCCCGCTGGCGCTCTTCACTCGTGAGGCCGCGGGCCGCCTCACCCCGAGGCGGACGGCGAGGGCCGCCTCGGCGTGACGAGCCTTGGGCTGTCCCTCGGCGCCATGCTGCCCATCGAGGCGGGCGCCGCGCCGGTGACGCAGCTGCTGTGCGCGGGCGGGCCGCCGGTGGGCCGCAAGGACCCTCGTCAGTCAAGCGGTGGCGAAGCGTCCCGGCGTGCCTGGAGGCCCACCAAACAGTGTTCCAAGACTTGTTTTTTGTGGTTTTCACGAATTGTTCTTGGAACATCTCTGGCTGGGACTGTCTTGTTTTAACGCATCGGCTCCATGTTGTAGGAACATTGTTTTTGTTATTCGAACATTTTGGGGTTCTAAGAACATTTCGTGGTAGGACTATAGAAATGCTGGGACGGTCGGTCCCTGCCCAAGTCAGGAGCAACCTTGGAGAGGACCATGAGGAACCGACGACGTGTCGAGGTTTGCGATTTTCGGTTTTCGTGGGTCCTCGTCGGTGTTCCAGCCTCGTGGTGCCTTTCAGCGGCTGTGCCTTCCGAGAGCGTTCCTTGGATATCGAGACTGTCCGGGGCTGGCCGCCAGGGAGTGGGCCCACGGGGAACGCATCGACCCCGAATCGCCCACCCATCGCCGAGAAGGGCCTGGGGCCTGGGGCCTAGGGCCTGGCGCCGATCTACTGGCGATGTCACGCCGATTCCAAGTCGATGTACCCCCCAGTCGCCAGACGGTGGAGGACATGTCGTCGTAATCTCTCATTGCCATCTCCAGAGCATCGATTTCATCTCTCTGAGGACGTTGTAATGCATCGATCTCGGACTGCATGTCCTCCAGCGTGGCAGCGCTAGCTGGACAGCCTCCCTGAGCGGCGGGAAGTTGCATGCGATTGCACCAGGAAACAGCTGTAGCGGCAGACATCGGCACAGCACGAAATTGTCGTTTACGCGGCCCTCGCCCTTTGGCTGCTAGAAGACGCTGAAGTTTATGAACAAAATAGTAGTTACGCTGCTCGACTGCTTGCGCTAGTTCAGCAACCAGTCTTTCCTGGACCTGCTCCCAGTACTTTCGAGCTGAGTCCCTGAGTTGGTGACTTAGGTGTTTGATGACTAGCGTCTCGTGCCGGGCCAGGAACGCATTACCTGCTCGACTTAGAAGTTCACGCCGTCTGCGTCTTTCCTCTAGCAGACTGCCTAGAAGCTGTGCTTGAGTTTTACGCTCTTCGCTGGCTAAGGGGCTCTCGGTGAAAACTTCTACAGCTGCCTCGTTGACTACTGTCATGAACATGCAATTCATCTCATCCACCTTGCCCTCCTCCCTGAGCTTGCCATACTCCTCGTCCACGAGGAGTAGTAGCAGGAGGAGGGGAACGAGGAGTAGTAGTAGGTGGAAGAGGAGGAGAAGGATCGGGATGAGGAAGAGGATCGGAGGAGGATGAGGAAGAGGATCGGAGGAGGATGAAGAAGAGGGAGGACAGAGGTACATGTTCAAAGTTTAGTTTGTTTGTTTTGTTATATATATATATATATATGTATAGAAACATACATGTATAGTTTGTATAAAAACAACAACACGCACAACCTTGCTTTAGGCGCCCTCGGCTCATGCGGCAGGCTCAACTCTTAGGTATACGCGGGGGAGGTGGACGGGGGGGGGGACTTAGGAGGTCCAGGTTGGCACCATCAGCAGTATCGGCGTTTGCCTCCACCGAGGGAAGATGCTGCTGATCTCGGTGGTTTTACGCGCATACTGCTCTAGTGCGTTGGTGCAGTCAGCCAGATTCCCCTGGGCTGCACCAATCAATTGTGCACGCTTCAGTGCTTCCGCGGGAGGCGAACGCGGAGATAAGTTGCTGGTGCGGTGCCCATGGCATCTTCGGGATATGCGTGGGGAGGGAAATTGGTGTGTCCCAAGTGCGGGCGCAAACGTAACGTGCAGCATTGGCGGCAATGCAAACACAAAACAGCAAAGCGGAGCGATCACATATTAACAAGTCGGACAGGCAGGACGGCACCTACGACTGGCGATCGAGGGCGTTGTGGACCGAGTCGTACCCAGGCGGAGGAGGAGGCGACTTCAAGGTTGAACGCCACCCGTGGCCCAGAATCGGCCAATATGGAACGACCTGGCGATGGGAAAATCGCCAGTCGTTCCGGGTTGAACGGTCCACGCGGGGTGAAAAACCAGCGCCCGGGTCGTCACGACACGAGCTTGGCACAGGCTCACTCCCGTGTGTGAAATAGTGGCGATGCGTCCTGGCGCGCCTGCAGGCCCACCAGAGAATCTCCGAAGAATTTGTTGTGGTCTGCACAGGTGTTCTCAAAACAGTTCTGGCTGAGACCGTCGTGTTTTCACACATCGCGTTTTGATGCTCTGAGAACTTTGCTTTTGCTCTTACATGTATGTTTGTGGGTTCCATAAGGACCCTTCGTGGTGGGCCTCTAGGAATGCCAGGACGGTCGGTCCCTGCTCAAAAGTGTGTCGCCGGCCCCTCCGCCGCAGAGGACGCCGCCTGCGCCGCCCCTGGGGCCCCGCCGAGCGGCGGCGGCGCGGCGCCAGTGGTGCGGCTGCTGCGGGCGGCCGCGGCCAGAGCCGAGGCGGGCGCGCTGGGCCCCACCGGCCGCCTGCTGGCAGTAGTTTCACAAGCCGGAGGAAGGCAGCGCAACAAAACCAGTGTGGTGACGATTTGTCGTGTTCTGTTTTTTGGGTGGCGGCTGATTTTGAGAATGTTTTGACCATCCCTTCTTGTTGGCTTATCTTTAATGGCCTCCGGCCAGTGCCGCCGATCCGGGGGGCTCCAGATTCGGTGACCTTCGCGGCTCTGTGGCTTCCTCCCTCCTCAATTCTTCCAGTCCTCTTTCTTCTCTTCTGGGGGGGGGCTTGGAGCGGTCCCGGGGGTTGTAAGGCAGCTACTCATGGACAGCCTGGGAATCCAGGAAAATATTAAATTGCATGACGCATGCACGAACAATAAGTGCTGCGGAATACGTGAACAATGCGTCCTGGCTGCGTATTTACGCTGAAACCGTTCGCTGGATTAGCGCAGTGGCACGCGGCGCACGCGAAATGCAACTACGCGCGCTCGCCCAGGGGCGATCCACCCCGGACAACTCGAACGCCTCGCTTGCGAGTCGACGACGCAACCCCGCCGAATCTGCACATCTTCGACGCCGCATCTGCGACTGCAGCGGTGGCGGCGATACGGCGGAAGGCAAACAAGGGGGCAGAAGCAGCAGCGCAGCCACTGACAGGAACGATGGCGCCGGGAAAACGACGACGGGGCCGATGAAACCCGCGCGCGAGTTGTAGGGGAGGGGGCCGGCGCGCGACATCGCCTGGGGAATGACACTGGGTTAAGAGGGGGCGCAGAGGACGGAAGGGGGGGCGACTAGAATTTGAATGGGGGCGGCGGCTAGAACAGCCTCGATGGGGCCGCTGAGAAATGGCCCCTGTGGCGAGGGGGACAGGGTGATGCGGTAGAGAGAAGTCGGTGGAGGCGGGCCCGGGCCGCGCGAAGCTACAGGCCGACTCGCCGCTGCAAAGGACCACGGGCCACCCAACACTCCTGCGATCCAAATTCTCATATGGCTTTGCACCATCATCGCGCGAACGCCGATGGCAAAACGTCCCGCGTGCCCCCGCGCGCCGACGACATCAAGAGCACGCCGCCGCGGCCCGCGCGGCTGCCGCCGCTGCGACTTGCGAGTAAGGCAGCAAGAACGCCCCCCAGACTGCCGCGACCCAGGGCGGCGAAAGATACCCCCAGGCCACACCAGACGCCGGCGCAATCGCCGCGGGGCCTCGATCGGCGCGGCCCCGCGGCCGCCATTTGTTTAGGTGCGTTCGAGGTGCTTTAATCGAAATGCATAAAAAATTCGGAAACAAAATAGGCCCCGCATTCGCAATCCCCGGGGGAATTCGGCGAGCGCATTTGAAATAAGTAAAAATTAGGCGGCCGAAATAGGCACCGACTCCGCGAGCGCATGTTTCGCATTCTTTGGTTTATTTGTCCATATGGATTGTATAAAAATACGCAACAAATGCGTTAGAAATAGGCGGCCGGGGAGGCGCCTATCTCTTGCAAAAAATACATCGTACATGCGCGAAAAATAGGCCCGCCCCGATCGGGGACAAATGCAAGACAAATCGGCGGGAAGTGACCCCGGGAGGCCCGCGACGGACTGCGGCTGCCCCATGGGGCTTTGTCCTCCCCCTGCCCCGTGCACCCTTGTCACCACCTACCAAACCACCCCAACCCAACCCGAAGGCCTCAATTTGCCCTCCATTTCCAGTGGGGGGGGGTCCTGGAACGTTGAAAAAACACATGGAACCCGTACCCCCCCCAACCCGAAATTCGGGTCAAATTCGGGTCTTCGGGTTGGGTTGGGGTGGTCTGGTAGGTAGTCACCTTGGGACGAGAGCCCGGCCGCCTCCCGGCGCTAGGCGGGCAGGGGGGGCGGGCGGGGGCGCAGCGCCAGGCGAGGGGCGCGGCCGCGCGGCTCAGCAGGTGACGTCTGCGCCGCGCCACCCCCCGGGGCACTGCACCCAAGAACGTTTCGCCGACACGGGGCGGTGCCTCGAGGGCAATGACCCCTCCTCCTCCTCCTCCTCCTCCTCCTCCTGCCTCCTCCGCGTCCTCCTCCTCCTCCTCCTCTCTCCTCCTCCTCCTCCTCCTCCTCCTCCTCCTCCTCCTCCTCCTCCTACTCCTGCACCCCATCGCACGCTTCGTGTCCCCGCAGGCGCCTCCGTCGAAGCCGCGGCAGCAGCGGCCGCGCGCGGCACTTGCACTCCCCAGGCTCCATCAAAGGCCCCAGCGGCATCAGCCGCGCGCGGCACTTGCGCACCCCTCGCGCGTTCGATGGCCCGAGTAAGGACACCCGCCAAAGATCCCAGCGTCAGCGGCCGCGCGCGTACTTGGGCACCGCTCGCGCGCGTCGACGCCCCATGGGGGCCTTCACCGAAGGCCCCAGAGGCGGCGGCTGCGAACGGCACCTGCAGAACCCTCGCGCAGTTCGCGGCTCGACGGGGGGCCCCGCCGAAGGCCCTAGCGGCAGCAGCTGGGCGCGGCATATTTGTGTGCAATTGTCACGCGTGTCGTGGCACCGCAGTAATCTCAGCTGAAAGCCCCGACCCCGCCGGCACCACTCGCGCGGCGGCCCTGGCCCATGTCGGCGCGCCCCTGTCACGCGCTCCCTGGCCCCCAAAGAAATTCCACCAGAACCTGTGATCAGAACTGCAGATGGGCGGGTCCTCCGCCAACAATTTCAATTCATGGTGCGCCCCCGCGGCGAGAGACCCCAAAACCGAACCATGGAAGCCGATCCCGCGCGCCGCTGCAGGACGCATCATCGCCCTGAGCTGCCATGACAATCGGCTTTCCCAGCAACGCACTCGCTGCGCGCCGCAAACACCGCTTGCGCTTGAGTGCTTACACAGTATAGCATAATGTAATGTAACTTACACGTCGAATGCATGTTGGTGTTCACCTATTTCCGTAACCTATTTTACGGCTATTTTGAAAGAGTTCGACATACCAGTTTTTTTCCATATTATTTTCGTTATAACCTGGGGGAGGTCAAGGGAGGGTTCCGAGGGGAGGGTCCTGGGGGAGGGGGGTCCCTGGGACTCCCCGAAACATCTTGGGGATGCGCAAACCATCAAGAAATCGTCAACTGGGGGACCGCCCCCCCTCCCGGAGGACCCACCCCCTCTCCCCCCCTTCCCCGGCGGAGCTATCCCGGCGACCCCGCCCCCAAGCAGAACTGAAGCTCTTGCTTAGGCTCAGAATTGAAGCTCTTGCTGAGGCTCCTTGTAGCTCACGCGCCAGATCGGCGGATTTTGATGATGTTTTGACCATCCTTTTGTTGTTCTTCAAAATCCGCCCGTAGGAGGACACGCCCGACCCAACAGTAGTTCAGGCTTCTGCCCTAGCGCAGTGCCCGGGTCGCCACGAAGGAAGCAGGTCCTGAAAGGAGCCGGGTCCTGAGGCTTCTCGCCGTCCTCGGCCTCCCTGGGGCCCTCCGTTGGCCCCCAAGCCGTCAGAGTCAAGCAGTGGCGAAGCGTCCTGGCTCGCCTATAGGCCGACCAAATATTGTTCTAAGAACCCTTTGTGGTTCCCACGAGATTTTCTTAGAACATTTCTTGCTCAGACTGTCTTGGTTTGACACATCGGGTACATGTTATAGGAACCTTGTTTTTGTTATTCGAACATGTCTGGGTTCTGAGAACATTTTTCGTGGTAGGCCTATAGGAATGCCGGGACGGTCGGCCCTTGTCAACACAGAGACCAGTCAGCATCAACAACAAAAACAACAAACGGGTCGGAGGGAGGGCCACGGGGGTCGGGCCTTGGTTCCCTCAGGGCCCGCTTCCTTCACGCCAGCAGGGCGGGCGGGACGGATGCGTTTTGGAGTTGAGGCGCCGATTTTGCTTAGTCTTGGGGTCCCCTCAGGTTAAGTCGGGCCTGTGCCTCTACAGGCCTGTCCTTCGAAAGGGCGGGCCGGGCACTCGCCTGTGAATTCCGCGCAATTTCTGATTTCGAAGCTCGATAGTTGCCAGGTTTCACGGATGGTGGGCGGTCCGTTTTCAAAAGGTGGGGTTCGGTTTAGCGCCGCGCACATTCGTTTTAAAAGTTTGCAAGAACTTCACGGATGGAGGGCGGTCCGTTTTCAAAGTGTGGTTGTTGCTTTAGCGCCGCGGGCATTCGCTCCAGATGCTTGCAAGGGATGCGTGGATGGCGGGCGTTCTGTTTTGCAGAATGTGGTTATCGCCGTAGCGCTGCGCAGATTCGTGCTAAAAGTGTGCAAGCGTTTCCTGCGTGGCGGGGGGCCCGCTGTCAAGATGTGGTTCTCGCTTTCACGCCGTGCACGCTCGCCGCAAAAGCCTGCAGGAGCTGCACGGACGGAGGGTGGCAACAGTAATTCTTCGCGCTTCGCGTGCCCCCACCAGAGAGCACTTGTGCTGCTTCCCGTGCGCTGTGCCCCAGCCTCGTTCACACCGCCCTCTGGACTTTTCCTTGCGGGCCGCGAATCAAAAAAGTGCCCCCACCAGCCCATTCAGAAGCCGTGCCATCGAGAGCTGACGGGAAAAGGGGCGAAGGGACACATCTGGGGAACCAAAGCGAGCAACCAGGGTGAACCGAGAGGTCTCTAGGAGCAAGGGGGTGGCCTTGGACGGCCTCTTCGGGCCATCCCTGGGGGCCGCGTGGGGCGAGGGGAGGACAAGGAGGAGGAGGACGAGGAGGACGAGGAGGACGAGGACGTGGATGAGGACGAGGACGAGGAGGACGAGGACTAGGATGAGGACGACGCGGGCGAGGATTTATGGAATTATCTAGCGTTATTCTTGCGGCTGTTGCTGCTGCTGGTGTTTTCTGGGGGGTTGGGGCTTTCTTGGAACCCTCTTGGTAACCCTGGAGGGCTTCTTGGGATCATCTTGGAGGCCATCGGTTACAGGATGGGGGGGTCCCCAACTCAGCCCCCCCCCTCAGGAGCTGACACACCGCTTCTTGAGGCTCTCTTAGGGCGCTCTTGGAGCGGTCTTGGGGCCGTTTGGAGCACCTTGGGAGCCATCTTGAGCCAGCTCGGGCTATCTGATCCATCTTGGAGGTCACCGTGGGTTCTCTGGGGCCGCTCGGGGGGCTCTTGGGGGCCTTTCGGGGCCCTCTTGGGGCCCTCTTTGGACCATCTTGGGGCCCTCCTGGGGTTTTCTTGGGGTTTTCTTGGGAGCCCTGGAGTGCCTCTTGGGGCAATCTTCGAGGCTATCGATCAAAGGAGGGAGGGTACCGATCGCCCTCCCCCCCCTCGGGGGCCACGATCCTCGTGAGGGGTGTCAAACAATTGGCCCTCCCAGGAGCCGAACAAAATGCCCCCCAACCACCCGCGACCGCCGCCCAAAAAGTCCAGGGGGGGGGGTAGAGGGAGGGGTCAAGTTACCCCCTCCCCGCCCGCAGGTCGTCTCGCTCACTCCCACCCGCCCTCCAACACATACGTAGCACCCGAGTCTGGCCCGAGCTTGAGCATATTCAGCAGTCGTCTTGGGATGGACAGCTACTGGGGGCCAATATGGCGCCGCCGCCGCCTCCGCCGCCGCCGCCGCCGCCGCCGCCCCCGCCGCCGCCGCCGCCGCCCCCCGCTGCCAAACCGCAACCGCCGCCGCAGCCACTGCCGCCACCGCTACCGCCGCCGCAGCCGCCGCCGCCGCCGCCCCCGCCGCCGCCGCCGCCGCCGCCGCAGCAGCCGCAACCGCCGCCGCCGCCGTCGCCGCCGCCCCCGCTGCCAAACCGCCGCCGCCGCTGCAGCCGCTGCCGCTGCCGCCACCGCCGCCACCGCCGCCGCCGCCGCCGCCGCCGCCCCCCGCCCCCGCCGCCGCCGCCGCAGCCGCCGCCGCCGCCGCCAAGTGTACTCTGTATTGTTTTTTGACAGGGATGGTGGGGGGGGGGCCGCATCGGGTTGGCTGCGCATGTTCCGAATTTGGAGGCAGAGTGTGTTTTGTATCGTTTTTTACAGGGATGGTGGGGGGGGGGGTCGGCATGGACCCTGGTTGGCCCCCAGTCGCCTGGGGGAGGGGGTGTTTATTAATAGGGAACAGTGATCAAGACTCCCTCCCCGCCCGCAAGCTGTCTCGTTCACTCCCACCCGCCCTCCCAACACATACGTAGCACCCGAGTCTGGCCCGAGCCTCAGCATATTCAGCAGTCGCCTTTGGATGGGCAGCTACTGGGGGCCAATCCGCCGCCGCCGCCTCCGCCGTCGTCGCCGCCGCCGCCGCCGTTGCCCGCCGCCGCAGCCGCCGCGCCGCCGCCGCGCCGCCGCCGCCGCCACCGCGCCGCCCGCCGCCGCCGCCGCCACCGCCGCCCCTGCTGCCAAATCGCCGCCGCGCGCAGCTGCTGCCGCCACCGCCACCGCCGCCGCAGCCATCGCAGCCGCCGCCGCCGCCGCCGTCGCCGCCGCCCCCGCCGCCGCCACCGCCACCGCCGCCGCCGCAGCCGCAGCCGCCGCAAGCCGCCGCCGCCGCAGCTGCCGCCGCCGCCAAGTATACTTTGCATTGTCGTTTTGACAAGGATGGTGGGGGGAGGCCGCATCGGGTTAGCTGCGCATGCTCCGAATTTGGAGGCAGAGTGTGTTTTGTATGTTTTGTTTACAAGGGATGGTGTGGGGGGGGGCCCTCATGGTTCTGGGTTGGCTACCAGTCGCCTGGGGGAGGGGGTGTTTATTCATAGGGACCAGTGATAAACCCTTCCCCGGAGGGGAAGAGGGTTCTGTGTGAGAGGAAAGAAAGGATCCCGTTAGACCACCTATGGCCAGAAGACTATTGGGATTTCATGGCCTCCCATGGTTAGCTTGCCAGATATAGCGTGTCCGCCTTATGTCCGAATGTCATGGCGCAGCAGGCACCTTGATTCGCGGCGCTGGGGTCGCAGGATTGGCTTTCTGGCACGGTTTTGGATCGTCAACTCGCAGCAGTAACGGTGATTCGTGGCGCTGGCACCCCGGATATGGCGTTTGGCACAATTCCAGAGTTTCAAACGGTTGCCTTACAACGGGGAATTTCGTTGTGTGAATGTGAATACGTGTAGGAGCTTCCGAAGAGGGTGTTTGGAGGGAGGGCTTACTACAATACCGTTGATGCATATTTGGGTTTCACTGGTCATTCCTTTCTTCCTCCTCTTCCTCCTCTTTCCCACACTCCTGCTCCTCCGTTCCTCCCTCTCTCCCTCCCTCCCTCCCTCCCTCCCTCCCTCCCTCTTCGCCGCCTCATGCGGGTAGAAGGAGTGGTGTCTCCGAGCGAGCGGACTCTCACCCCGAAGACGAAGGATCGAGGTTGCCAGACGTGTTTCCACGTCGCCCGCAGGGGCAGGGGGACTGACGGGCATGGTTTCCACCACCACCACCACCATAAATTGGAGGGGGAGGGGGTCCTCCCTCCTCCTCCTCCTCCTCCTCCTTCTTCTCCTCCTCCTCCTCCTCCTCGTCCTCCTCCTCCTCCTCCTCCTCTTCCTCCTCCTCCTCCTCCTCTCCGTCCTCTTCCTCGTTTTCCTCCTCCTTCCACCCTCCAACTTATGGTGGTGGTGGAAAACAGGCCCATCGAGGACCACCGCGCGTCGCGCGTCGCGGCCTGCGTCGGGGAGCGGACCTGCTCCACATGGTGGGCCGAGGAGGGGCTGCGCGAGTGCGCGAAGGCGAGCGCACTTTGTGCGCGTCGCGTAGCGCGGCGTGTTTCGCATGGGGTGCTGGGCCTGCTTTCCACCAACCACCACCAGAAGTTGGATGGGGGAAGGAGGAGGGGGACGAGGAGGAGGAGGAGGAGGAGGAGGAGGAGGAGGAGGACGAGGAGGAGCCCCTCCCCCTCCAACTTGTGGTGGTGGTGGTGGTGGTGGTGGTGGTGGAAAACAGGCCCATCATGAGGTGTCGTCGTCGTCGTCGTCGCCGTCCCTCGTTGTCGTCTTCGTCGTCGTCGCCGTCCCTCGTCGTCCCTGCTTGCGCCTCAGGGGGCCTCTGGAGGCGTGCGGAGACCCCTCGGTGACCTCCGGCATCTACAGCCTTTCCGGACTCAAGCCGCAGATCCTCCCAGCGCGAGACCCGCCCGCGGCGCCGAGCAGCCTCCCAGTGGAACGCCCCGCGTCGGCATGGCACCGTGCACCAGCCCCTCCACCAGCGCTCCCAGGCGTGGGCACGGCGGCGGCCACGCAGGGCCGAAGGAGGGCCTCGGGGAGCTCGAGGAAGGAAAAGCTGCACGAACACAGACTTCCGACGGTGCGCATGGACTTCGTCGACCTGCGCTGGACCACCCACGCTGGCGGCGCTTCCGGCGCCGCCCCCTGGAGGGTGGTCCAGCGCAGACCCAAGACAGTTGCGCGGACCGTCGGGAGTCCAGGCTTATGCAGTCTCTTACTCGAGGAGCGGTGCCCGCCAGCGCCAGAGCCCAACCCCCTGTACGTCAAGACGCAGTTGTGCCGCTTCTTTGCGGCTGGCGCTTGCCTGAGGAGCACAGGCTGCAAGTTCGCCCACGGCCCGACCGAGCTCAAGACGCTCCCAGACTTCACGAGGATCGGGGCAGGGCGAGTTGAGTCGAAGAATAAACATCTGCATAAACATAGTGCAGATTTCTCGGATCGGCGCTGGGGCGCCTTGGCGGCGAAATCCGCGCAGACCGTCACAAGTTGATGCAAGTGGCTTCCGGCATTCCGCCGACACCCATAAGAAGTAAGAGCTTGCGACGATCGTGGCAGTTCTCTATTGGCCTTCGGCCTAACCCGCCACCGTGCCTGGGCTGTGGGCCAGGAACCTCTTGGATGAATATGAGGGTCTCTTGGGGTGCCTCCCTTGGAGGGCTCTTGGGTGCATTTGGGAGGCTTTTTGGGGCCTCTTGGCGGCTTCCTGGGGGCGTCTTGCAGGCCTCTTGGGGATGCCTCGGGGGCCTCTGTGGGGCTTTTTGTTTGGGGCCGGGCCATCTTGGGAGAAGGCTCGAAATATCAGTTCGTGGTCCTTTCTGGGACTCTCTCGGGGCCCTATTGGGGCTCTCTTGGGCCGTCTTGCGGCCCCCTGGGGCCATCTCGGGGTCCTCTTCGGCCGTCTTGGGGCCCTCTTGGGGACCTCATCGGCCGTCTTGCGTGACGATCTTGTGGGTCCCATGGGCAAACTGAGAAGCTGTCAAGACGGAACATTTCGTGCGCGAAGATGCGCGTTGTCCTGAGGGAATGCGACGATTGGTGCCTCTTGGGGCCTTCTCGGCGGCACTCTGGGAACACTGTTGGGCTGTCTTGGGGGCCGTGTGGGCCGTCTTGACGTCATCATGGGTCGTCGTGGGGCTGCTCTAGGCAGTCTCTGGGCTCTCTTCGACTGCCTTGGCGCTCCGTCCTGGCCCCCTTGGGGCTTCTTGGGAGGCTCCAGAGGCCCAGGGGGCTCGCTGACGAGCTCCATGTCCCCCCCCCCCTTTCCCCTCGAACGGGATCTGACAGCTCGGACCCCAGGGGAGGGGGCAAGGGGGAGGGGCGGGCGGCCAGATGTCTCACACGCTGGCTCCCCCCCCCCGGCAGGCGGGGGGGGGGGTCGGCGAGCGGAGGTCGGCGGAGACGCTCGTGCAGTATTTGCAGTTTGCATTCTTCCTCCACTGGGGGCGACGGCAGCTCAGGATCAGCCCCCGGGGCCCTGGGCCCCGCGGGCGCACCATTTGTCCAAGCTGCGCCCCGCCGCGGCGACGATGGCCCCCCCGTGCCGGGAAGGCCCAGCTGTGCCGTGTTGTCTCGCCTGGCCCTCCTCCACAGGAGGACTCTCCAAGATTGCCAGATGGGGTCCGAGCAGGCGGGGTCGGAGGATCGCGCCGCACCGCCGATGCATGCGGCTCGATGTGAAGCCCGATTTTCTCCACGCCGACGCAAGAGGTAGAATCTTCGGACACCTACGGACAACCGAGGGCTTTTTTTGGGGGGGCAGATGCGGTGAGCATGCCCATCTGGGAGTATAATAAGGCAATCCTGCAGTCGATTTCCTGCTCGAGAGGACGCAGCTCTGCCCCTCCGTGCGTGCCCACGGCGCCTGCCGGGCCCCCGCCTGCACCTTCGCCCACTCCTGGGCCGACCTCCGCCCGCGCCTGGACGGCGGGGTGCCGCCCGCGCCCGCGGCCTGCGGCACCGGCGCGCGCGCCCCGAGCCCGGGGCGAACGGACGGGCGCGTGGCGCGCCGGCGCGCTCAGGCTCCGAGGGGCAGGAAGCCCGGATTCCTTCGAGGCATAACAAGAGTCACTCAGAGCGTGAATTACCTACCCCGCTTTCGCTTCCAGGCAAAACCAAGCCATACCACGCGCCTCCTCGTCAAGCGGCCTGACCAGTACAGGCTGCAATTTGGCATCGTTTGGTATCTCTTGGAAGCGAGGGTGGTCAAAAGCGAGGTAGGTTTGGTTTCCCCCTAGTCACGGCGATGTTTTTGTTCGCCGGTTTCGGCCTCTGCCGGGGCCTCTGCCGGGGCCTCGGGGCCATGTAAGCAGTCTGCCGAGAGCGCAAAACGGGTCCTGGGGAAGGTTTTCGTCTGTCGTCTGTCGTTTCGTCCGTCGTCTGTCATGCCACTGGGCTCCTTCGTGCAGGTACAGAAAAACTCTGCCGTTACTACAGTTTTTGACCATTCTTGCAGATCCCACGGCCGGAACTGCGGCCAGCGCGCCCTTGGGCAAAATTGAACGACGGACATATGCCTATGCAGATCTGAAGCCGCTCACCCTAGTAAAACACAGGCGGAGTAAGTTTCCGAGGACGCGGAGTAAGTTGTCTTCAACTAAAACACAACGCGGAGTACGTTCAACAAGAATGCGGAGTAAGTTAATCCACGTCAAAAACGTGCGGAGTAAGTTTGTACACCGTAGTAAATCTATAATACGAAGGAGAAACGGTGTTGGCGGCCCGAACAGGGTTTTAAAAATCCACTGCGGTTTCCAAGGTCGATTGCGTGCCCGTCCAGTGTGGGCTGGCATGGCATGTTAGAACATGATAACTGGCGGATGTCTGGGGAGGGCGGAAGGCAGGGCACGCATGACGGATGCTGAGGCGGCAGAAACGACGACGGCGGGGACGGAGGCGGAGGCAGAGGCGTAGCAGCGGGAGGCGGGAGGCGGGAGGAGGGAGAAGGGAAGAGGAGCCAGGCGGAAAGCGGGAAGAGGGAGGCGGGAGAAGGAATGAGAGAGGTTGTGATTGGAGCCCCTGTGCTACGAAACGTCTCAGGCAGAACGGGCCAGACCATCTCGCGCTCAACATCTTCGAGCTTCGCATTGTGATGATGGCTCAAGCGAAACGGGCCAGACCACCTCGCGAGCGACATTTTGGAGCTCAGTATTGGAAGGATGTCTCAAACGAAACGGGCCGGACAACCTCTCGCACACGTTCTGACAAGTCCACGTCACACTCGCTTCCCGTTAGGTACTCTCCTGCAACTCCTTTCCTTCTCCCCCCTCCTCCTCCTCCTCCTCCTCCTCCTCCTCCTCCTCTTCCCCCTCCTCCTCCTCCTCCTTCTCCCTTCCATCTCCGCCTCCTCCTCCTCCTCCTCCTCCTCCTCCTACTCCTCCTCCTCCTCTCCTCCTCCACCTCCTCTTCATCCCGAACGGCATCTCGGAGCCCAGAGTTGCGAGGATGTCTCCAGCGTAACGGGCTGGACCACCTCGCGCGCGGCATCTCGGACCCCAGAGTTGCGACGATGTCTCGGGCGAAACGTGCTGCGAGGAAGTTTCAGGCGAAACGGGCCGGACCACCTCGAGCGCGGCGTCTCAGAGCTCCGAGTTGCGGGGGCCTCCTGGTGCCTCCTGTGGCCTCCTGGGGACCTCCTGGGGCTTCCTGAAGCATCTTAGGGCTCCCAGGGGGGAATATCTAACATGTGGTCGTCTGGGCTCCCCAAAGGGGGGGGGGGGCACAAGAGCAGGAAAAGTCAACGAATCGACACCGGATGTGTATTAATGTGACACGTTCTGATAGGGGGCCTCCTGGGGCCTCCTGGGAGCCTCCTGGGAATCTCCTGGGGACCCCTGGGGCCTGTCCTGGGCGTCCTGCGGCCTCCTGAAGCTCTCTGGGGCCTCCTGGGGCTCCCAGGGTCCCAGGGGGGTTATGTAACATGTGGTCTTCTGGGCCCCTAGGCTGGACCACCTCTTGCGCGGCGTCTGGGAGCTCAGAGTTGCGAGAATGTCTTGTGCGAAACAGTCCAGACCGCCTTGCGCACGGCATCTCAGAGCTCAGAGTTGCGAGGATGTCTCAGGCGAGACGGGCCGGACCACCTCGCGCAGGGCATTTCAGAGCTCAGAGATAGATGTGAGGATGTCTCAGGCGAAACCGGCCGGACCACGTCGCGCGCTGCACATCCGATGTCAGAGTTGCGAGGATGTCTCAGGCGAAATGGGCTGAACCACCTCCTCAGCGGCAGCTCAGAGCGAAACGGGCCAGATCACCTCGCGCGCGGCATTTGGAAGCTCAGAGTTTGGATGACGTCTCAGACGAAACGCGCGGCATCTCGGAATGCAAAAGTGCGAGGATGTCTCAAGTGAAACGGGCCTGACCACCTCTTGGGCGGCATCTCGGGGCTCAGAGTTTGGAGGATGTCTCAAGCGAAACGGGCCGGACCACCTCTCGCGCGGCATCTGGGAGCTCAGAGTTTGGAGGGTGTCTCAGGCAAAACGGGCCGGACCACCTCGCGCACGGCCTATCAGGGCTCAGAGTTTGGAGGATGTCTCAGGCGAAACGGGCCGGACCACCTCTGACGGCATCTCCGAGGTCAGAGTAAGTTGTGAGGATGTCTCAGGCGAATCGCGCTGGACCACCTCTTGAGCGGCATCGCACAACTCAGAGTTGCGAGGATGTCTCAGGCGAAACGCGCCGGACCACCTCGCGCACGGCATCTCAGAGCTCAGAGATTGGAGGATGTCTCAGGCGATACGGGCTGGACCACCTCTCGCGCGGCATCTGGGAGCTCAGAGTTTGGAGGATGTCTCAGGCGAAACGGGCTGGACCACCTCTCGCGCGGCATTTGGGAGCTCAGAGTTTGGAGGATGTCTCAGGCGAAACGGGCTGGACCACCTCTTGCGCGGCACCTGGGAACTCAGAGTTTGGATGATGTCTCACGCGAAACGCCCAATCCCGGACAACTCAGAAAGGAGAGTTGTGAGGATGTCTCAAGCGAAACCGCCCGGACCACCACATTTTTTGAGGACGTCTCTGCTTTGAATTCCTTCGGCCAGAGTGAGCTTTTATCACAGCAGCACCCTGTTCAGCAAGCCGTTTGGGGAGAAAGTGTCGAGACGTTCGGGGTCGACGTTCTGAAGGAAGCATGACGTCGGGGGCTTGGGGTTCGTGACAACCCAGGTTCGGCGGCGCGCCCGGTGGGGAAGTCTGAGGGGGCAGGCTTTCTCGGGAGCCCCCCGCCCTTGTCAGGAGCCCTCTGGCCTTGTGAGAACTCGTCTCTGTCTTCGGAGATGGCTTAGACCATTTTCTAGAGGTCCGAGCCTTCTGAGAAGGCCCGCCCCATCTGACTTCCCCCCTGGGTTCGCCGCCGACAGGTGGCGAGGAGCCGGGATCAGCACAGACAGACCCCCCCCCAGCAGGTAGTCCCGACTGTCAGAGGGCTTGGCATCGCTCGGACGTGTGCATTCGCTCTTCGGCGAGGCCAGCGCCAGAAAATCCGCACCACCTGAGGGCATCTTGGATCATCCAGCGAAAACACACGAACGCACGAGACCGACACATACACGGGGAATGGACGTCCGAGCGATGGCAATGAGGTCCCCCGAGTAGCCCCAGCTGGCGTCGACGGGCCCCCCGAGTGGTCCGGCCGGGGCGGTCTCAACACCCTGGCGCCGCCCCCGCGCCCCAGGGTTGGGGTACTGAGGTCGCCCCCGGTGCGCCTGTCGAGGCCAGCTGGGACTACTCGAGGGGCCGGCTGAAGCCAGCCAGGGCGTCCTGGGAAGCGGGGGGGGGGGGATGTCTGCGCGCAGCCCGGAACCTCACCAAACGCGGACATCCAGCGCTCCGAGATCACCCCAGGAAAGCACCCGAGCAGTCAACAGCAAGGAGGAGGCCATGTGCACCTATAGGGTTTTTGTTTTGTTGTTCCAGGGGTCGTGGCCGTCCAGGCCATAAGACTGTGGCCGGCACGGAGGCGATGGCACGCTTCTGGAGTCAATCAGGAGGGGAAGAAACACACAAGCACAATTAATCGTCGATCTCCAGGAAAATTTGGGAAAATATGGGAAGTGGGGGGGAAGACAAAAACTCAGAAAAAATTGGAAAATATGGGGAATCGTTTTATTTGTGTGTACTTATTTGTGTGTGTGTGTTGTGGTGCGGGGGAGTCTCGGGCGAAACGGCTGCCAGACCAGGCGATCCACGCGGCGGCCTCGGGCTCCCCGTCCCCTCCGCGGGACTCTCTTCTGCGGGCCTCCCCTGCCGGCCTGGGGCACTATATCCCTGTCCCTGTGGCCGGCATCGCCTCGTCGCGATGCCAACTCTGAAGATCCCCTCCGTTTCTGAGAGGGCGCGTCGCTGAGACTGTCATCGCCTCGTGGAGCGTCGATGGTATGGACGGGGGCAGGTTCGAGGCCAGCTACTGCTTCACCTCTGTTAGCCAGAGCCGTCTTCGCGCCTCGGGACGGTCAGACGAAGACGCAGGACGAGAAGCGGGCCCTGGCCCTCGTCTAGCGGGGACCCCTTCTCGGAATCATCGGGGTTCCAGGCCTCTCCTGGGTAGTCCACGGCTCCACGCGGGCTCAAGAGACGAGGCCGCCAGATACATTCCAGGACGCCTGGGAAGTGTCCCGAGCCGGCCATAGCCACGAGGTCCATGACCAAGACGGCGCGGCATCATGTCGACTCCGATCTCGCCCATGGTCCACGGTCCATGCCAACCCTCGCCGATTCCCGAGGGTCATCCACGAGCTGACGGTGACCAAGATGGACCATGACCAAGATCGACACCGACGTTTCCGCGTTCGGTCTTGGTCATGGCCATCGCTTGTTTCCCTCCAGCTTCCCAGACATACGACGCTCTGATTTTCCCAATGCGGGGCCCCTGAGTAGAAGTCCCGATCCTTCGCCCTGTGCCAGCTCTTCATCGTCGGACCGCCCTCCGACGGCCCCGGGGCCCGGCGAGGGATCCCAGAGGCCGAAAACGGCCAAACAACGCACGCCCTGGTCTTGCCGGCGCGATCGTGTATCGGTGGCGACAGGCATGTCCGTGCTTGCGGCCTCGCGGCCTTGGCCCCTGGGCCGCACACCCCCGCGGATACGGAGCGCGGAACGTCTCCGTGCGACCGCGCGTCCGCGGCATCGCACCCAGGAGTCCAGACCGCGATGGCGCGGGTACGGATACGTTTCAGTCGGGCTTGTCCCTCTACATGGGGAATAGTCAAAAACAGTTAAAACATGTTTTCATTGTTTTTGGATGTTGTTGGAACATTATTTGACTAGTTTTCATTTCTCGCCCAAAATCCCCTTGTAGGGGGACAGGCCCGACATAAGGATGCGTCGTGTGGACCGGCGACGACCCCGCCGCCGGCGTTCCACGTTGAACGCCGCCAGCGACCCAGAATGGGTCGATGTTGAATGATTGGACGTTTCGGAAACGGCCAATCGAGCAAGATGGAGCGATCCCCGCTGTGTCAGAAATCAACTTCAGGGTAGACACGACATTGGAGAACCATGTGGGACCTGCTCTAGAACAAGAACGTACCGTAGACGGATCTAACCTCTCTCCAACTCTGCATTGCGTCGAACGCAACGGCCGCGTATAGACGCATCCACCCCGAATGCGTTTGCGTACGCAGCGACACCCAATGTGTCTATCAGACGCTTGCGGCAAGAAGCGAGCGTTGTTTTTCGCATATGCCCGATATAGATCGGCCTTCTTTGGAAGTAGGGGGACTTTTGCCCAAGAAGGAAAAACACATTAAGATAAACTCTCGACGCTCCACGCGGATTTCTTGTATCTGCGCTGGGGCCCCTTGGCCGCGCCTCCGGCGCCGCCCCTGGTGCGCACCGCGCGCCAGGGAGGGGGGCCCAGCGCAAACCCGAGACCTCCGCGCGGCCCGTCGACAGTTTATTCCCCAATCAGTGCTTGCACTGAAGGGGTCCTGGCGGAAGTTGATGGACTTGGCGAAGGTTTCCCGCCGATTTTGGTGGCCGGCTGGGTTCCCAGGTTCCCGGTTCCGGGTCCCCGGGTTTTTCCCAACCCTCCTGTGTTGGGCACTCGTTTTGAATAGAGCAGTGTGGTCGCCCCGTCCTCCTCCTCCTCCCCTCTCCTCCCTTGCCCTTCTCCTGTTTCCTGTGTGCCCCTCTCCTCTTCTCTCGTGCCGTCGGGCTGCGCTCTGCGAAACTGTCGCCACTTTCGTGGGCTCCTGGGAGGCCCAGCGGAGGTACGTCCCACGCGGACAACCTCGGTACTTCGCCGCCCCCTGGGGGGCTTGCGACCTGCGCAACTGTCGCCACTTTCGTGGGCTCCTGGGAGGCCCAGCAGAAGTACGACCACCTCGAGACCTCGCCGCCCCCTTGGGGGGCTTGCCATCTGCGCAACTGTCGCCACTTTCGTGGGCTCCTGGGAGGCCCAGCGGAGGTACGTTCAACGCGGACCACCTCGGTACCTCGCCGCCCCTTGGGGGGCTTGCGATCTGCGCAACTGTCGCCACTTTCGTTGGCTCTTGGGAGGCCCCTTGGAGGTACGTCCCACGCGGACCACCTCGAGACCTCGCCGCCCCCTGGGGGTTTTGCGATCTGCGCAACTGTGGCCACTTTCGTGGGCTCCTGGGAGGCCCAGCGGAGGTACGTCCCACGCGGACCACCTCGGTACCTCGCCGCCCCTTGGGGGGTTTGCGATTTGCGCAACTGTTGCCACTTTCGTGGGCTCCTGGGAGGCCCAGCGGAAGTACGTCCCACGCGGACAACCTCGGTACATCGCCGCCCCCTCGGGGGCTTGCGACCTGCGCAACTGTCGCCACTTTCGTGGGCTCCTGGGAGGCCCAGCAGAAGTACGACCACCTCGAGACCTCGCCGCCCCCTGGGGGGCTTGCCATCTGCGCAACTGTGGCCACTTTCGTGGGCTCCTGGGAGGCCCAGCGGAGGTACGTTCAACGCGGACCACCTCGGTACCTCGCCGCCCCTTGGGGGGCTTGCGATCTGCGCAACTGTCGCCACTTTCGTTGGCTCTTGGGAGGCCCCTTGGAGGTACGTCCCACGCGGACCACCTCGAGACCTCGCCGCCCCCTGGGGGTTTTGCGATCTGCGCAACTGTGGCCACTTTCGTGGGCTCCTGGGAGGTCCCAGCGGAGGTACGTCCCACGCGGACCACCTCGGTACCTCGCCGCCCCTTGGGGGGTTTGCGATCTGCGCAACTGTTGCCACTTTCGTGGGCTCCTGGGAGGCCCAGCGGAAGTACGTCCCACGCGGACAACCTCGGTACTTCGCCGCCCCCTCGGGGGCTTGCGACCTGCGCAACTGTCGCCACTTTCGTGGGCTCCTGGGAGGCCCAGCAGAAGTACGACCACCTCGAGACCTCGCCGCCCCCTGGGGGGCTTGCCATCTGCGCAACTGTCGCCACTTTCGTGGGCTCCTGGGAGGCCCAGCGGAGGTACGTTCAACGCGGACCACCTCGGGGCCTCGCCGCCCCTTAGGGGGCTTGCGATCTGCGCAACTGTCGCCACTTTCGTTGGCTCTTGGGAAGCCCCTTGGAGGTACGTCCCACGCGGACCACCTCGAGACCTCGTGCCCCCCTGGGGGTTTTGCGATCTGCGCAACTGTGGCCACTTTCGTGGGCTCCTGGGAGGCCCAGCGGAGGTACGTCCCACGCGGACCACCTCGGTACTCGCCCCCCCCTGGCGGGGTTTTTTTTGCGATCTGCGCAACCGTCGCCACTTTCGTGGGCTCCTGGGAGGCCCAGCGGAGGTGGGTCCCACGCGGACCACCTCGAGACCTCGCGGTTCCCTGGGGGCTGCGATCTGCGCAATTATCGCCATGTTCGTGGGCTCCTGGGAGGCCCAGCGGAGGTGGGTCCCACGCGGACCACCTCGGACCTACAGCCCCCTGGGGGGATTCCTTGAGATCCTGCGCACAGGGGCCACCTTTCGTGTGGCTCTCTGGGGGGCCCCAGCGGTTGTTTTCAGTCCACGCGGACACCTCGGGACATCGCCACGCCCTGGGGGGATTGCGGACCTGCGCATCTCTGTCGCCACTTTCGTGGGGCTCCTGGAGGCCCAGCGGAGGTGGGTACCACGCGGATCACCTCGGGACCTCGCAGCCCCCTGGGGGGCTTGCGTCCGCCCTTTCGTGGGCCTTCAGGGAGGCCACCAGCGGAGGTACGTCCTCGAGGACCACCTCGGGACCTCGCCCGCTGCCTTGCGGGTTTTTGCGTTCTGCGCAGCTCGTGGCCACTTTCGTGGCTCCTGGGAGGCCCTGCGGAGGTTTGGTACAGGAGTGGCGGGATCACCTCGGGACCTCGCCGCCCCCTGGGGGTTTTGCGATCTGCGCAACTGTGGCCATTTTCGTTGGCTCCTGGGAGGCCCAGCGGAGGTACGTCCCACGCGGACCACCTCGGGACCTCGCCGCCCCCTGGGGGGCTTGCGATTTGCGCAACTGTTGCCACTCTCATGGGCTTCTGGGAAGCCCAGCGGAGGTACGTCCCACGCGGACCACCTCGGTACTTCGCCGCCCCCTTGGGGGGTTTGCGATCTGCGCAACTGTCGGCCCTTTCGTGGGCTCCTGGGAGGCCCAGCGGAGGTACGTCCCACGCGGGCCGCCTCGGTACTTCGCCGCCCCCTGGGGGGCTTGCGTCGCCCCTTTCGTGGGCTCCTGGGAGGCCCAGCGGAGGTGCGTCCCACGCGGACCACCTCGGTACCTCGCCGCCCCCTGGGGGGCTTGCGATCTGCGCAACTGTCGCCACTTTCGTAAGCTCCTGGGAGGTCCAGCGGCTGTACGTCCCACGCGGTGACTGGGTGCTCCTGCTTATCCTTGAGGCTGCGACCGTTTGCTTCCACTTTTGGGTTTTTTTCTTTGGGTTCGCTGCCGCGCCCTTTTGTCTCCACTTTTGGGTGAGTCTCCGCCCCCGTTATGGAGCTCATGCATGTGCCTCTTTCAGCGCAGCGCGTTGCTGAGTTTAACCGATGTTCTGGTTCAGCCCTCGCCGCCCCCCGCTTTTGTGTTTCTTTCAACGCCTCTGTGCTTCGACTTTGTATGTTTGGTGCTCCTCTTCTTGATGCTCTCTTCCGATTTCATTCCTGAGCGCTCTTCTTGCGCACTGCGGGTCCTCCGGAATGCCAGTCAGCATTGAGTGGTCCTGAATATATTCGCCACGTGTATAAAAGGGTTGGGTACGTCGCAGGGTAACTGATTATTGGCATTGGTTCCGGGCCGATCTCAGTGGGTTCTGGGTTCCCGGGCCCCCAGTCGATCTCCTCGTCGATCTTGCTATATCGATCCCAGTTCAAACCATGCATTGATTGGGGTTTTTTCTCTGGTGTACTGTTTGTGTGTGTGCGTGTGTGTTTCTGCCTCGATCCTGCGCTGCGATCGCGACACGGCCCAGCGGTGCGTTCGCCGCTCGTGCAGCGCAGGCCCCGCCCGCGGGGCCCGCCGGGGCGCCGCGGAGGCGCGGCCGGGCCGGCGGCGGCACGGCGAGCCCGGGCGCGGGGGCGCCGCGCCTGGGGGGCGGCAACACAGGGCAGCGCGGAGGGGTCAAACGTGCTGTTGGGGCATGTTCAAATACCAACACATGATGGTGGGGGTCGGGGGGCCTCCCCTCCTCCCAAGTCACGCAGACCGCACGCAGCAGAGCACGACAAGAAGTATAGCAGCAGCGAAGCCTCCCAAACCACGCCTCTTACGTTCGAGCCTGGAGCTATCCTCCGCTCGCTCCATCCTACTCCTCCTCCTAAGCCATCTTCCGTTATCCTCCTTCTAGGCCTCCCCCTACTTCCTCGTCCTCAGATCCTCATCATTTCCTCCTCCTACCCTCATTCCCTCACCACCTACTCTCCCTTCAATTTTCTCCGCCTGCTATCCTGGCGTCCTCATCCTCACCTTCTCCTCCTCCTCCTCCTCCTCCTCCTCATCACCTCCACTCCTCCTCCCCCGCCTCCTCCTCGTCCTCCACCTCCTTCGCCCCTCCAACTTGTGGTGGTGGGTGGTGGAGAACAGGCCCGTCACGAGCAGCACCAGGGCGAGCGGGCCGGGCTCGGAGGGGTCGCCGCGCTCCCGCCAGCTCTCGGCGGCGTCCGACGGCGTCCCCGACGGCACGAGGGGGGGGGGGGGCGTTGTCCCTTTCTGCCTATTTTAGTTTTTTTGCTCTTTTTTGTTTTTATTATCTGGACTTCTTCCTTCTATTATTTTCTCGCGGGAGAAACTATTTACATTGCGACCGAGAACACCAAATCGTGTATGGTTTTCGCTGACGGAGATCACCTGGAAAGGAGCCTGGGGAAACCAGGGACCCACCGCAATCGGCCCGGTACCAATGACCCAGGGACCACGGGAACCCGGAAACTGGGGGAACCGGGAAACCATAGCGTGCGTTTCAACATCGGCATTTTCGCCAAATTCTTTCTAACTTCGCGGAGGTAACCCCTTCAGTGGCAGCAGGGATTTCGGGAAAAATAGTCACAATATAGTACAGGGGCGATGTTCGACGATTTTGACCAGTTGGAAATGTGTTCGACTATGTTTCATTTTAGTTTTCAAATCGCCTGTAGGAGGACCGTTCCGATCTAACGCGTTTGTATTTTTATTTTATTTTTTTCTTTTTTTATTTTTTTTGTTTTATATATTTTTAATCTTTAGTTTTGAGTTTAGTTTTTTATATGTTTTTTGTTTTGGATATACCTTTCTCTTAGTTATTTATAGTTTTGGAGCCGCCTGGGGGTTTGAGGTGGCCATGCGCTGGCTCTGGCGAGCAGGAAGGGCGGGCAGGTTCGAGTTTCTCTGGGTGCGGGAAGGTGTTTTGACTTTTGCGGTGGCCGTTTTCGGGCCCCGGGCCCGTCTAAGACGGATCCGGGGCGAAGAGTTGCACCAGATGGACCCCAGGGGGGACCGATTTTGAGCGAATTTGGTCTCATCCCCCCTCTTGGTCGATTTTCTGGGTCCCGACCAGTTCAGTCCCCACAGTCGCCTCCAACGCCAGCTAAATACATCAAGCAGTGGCAGAGCGTCCTGACTTGCCTAAGCCACAACAAGAGATGATTTGAGAACCGTCTGTGGTATGCAGGACTTGTTCTCAGTAAACTGCTGGCTAAGGCTAAGGCAGTTTTGACTTGATTAACTAGTTTTATGTTGTAAGAACATGGTTGTTTGTTTCTAGAACGCTGTTTGGCTCTAAAAACATGCCGTGGTAGGCCTGTAGGAATGCCAGGGCGGCCGGTTCTTGCTCAAAAGTGTGCACCTGCATTGGTCCTGGTCCTGGCCTGGCCCATCCTGGGCCCAGGATCGGTGTGTCCCATCCAGCGCCGATTCAAGACATTCCCGCGAAGCTCCGAAGGTGTATGTTCATGCAGTTTGTCCTTCTTCCCGTGTGCGCCCTCCTGGCTCGGCGGGGAGGGCATGCACACCAATGCTCAGGCCCAGGATCGGCCTGGTCAGGATCGGGGCGGGTGCACAGTTGGCGGCGCCCTCGGAGGCCAGCTGTCGGAGTGCACGGAGCCGGGCGTGGAGTGCCAGGGGGGGGACAGCGGCCGCGTGTTGTGGAGGTTGGCGGTGAGGAATTTCGGAGCCGCGCCAGGGGGCACATCTGAGGTTGGGGTCTCGGGTCTGGCGCAGATGGCGGGCGGTGAGAGGCCCAATCGTTCGTGACTTGTGCACTGGCGTGCGCAGGGGCGGCGACGTGTCAAAGAGGAGGCACATTTGCATCCACGCGCAACGACTGCAATCCAGCGCGCGCGCTGGTGCATCCAGGGACCAACTCGTGCATGTACTGTTGCACCCATCCTCGCGGACCCATCTGTGCTAGACCCACCTACTCTCGCGTCAATGGCGTGAAGGACAGACTCGAGGCTCGAGGTTCGAGGACAACGGCATCGACGCAATTTCTCGGAGGTCCGCGCGGAGTTCTTGCGTCGGCGCTGGGCCCCTCTGTGGCGGCGCCTCTGGCGCCTCCAGAGCTCCGCGCGCCAGGGAGGCGGGTCCAGCGCCGATCCAAGAAATCCTCGCGGAGCTCCGAAAGTGCACGTTTATGCCGCTGTTTTACGGGCGCAGCCCGTAATTTGATTTTCGCGAGGTAGACAGACTGAACTGAACCACCAGGCCGTCAGATGGCAGTTTTATTTCCGCGGGTGGGGATATTTCGGTGGCAGTTTTAAGCCAGCGTGTGAGGGTATTTCTGTGGCAGTTTTAAGCCAGCGGGTGAGGATATTTCGGTGGCAGTTTTAAGCCAGCAGGTGAGGATATTTCGGTGGCAGTTTTAAGCCAGCGGGTGAGGATATTTCGGTGGCAGTTTTGAGCCAGCAGTTGAGGAAATTTCGGTGTTTCAGCGGGTGAGGATATTTCGGTGGCAGTTGATTCCCGCGGGTGAGGATCTTCTGATAGCAGTTTAAGCCAGCCAGTGAGGATATTTCGGTGGCAGTGTTCAGCCAACGGGTGAGGAAATTTCGGTGGCAGATTTATTTCCGCGGGTGAGGGTATTTTGGCGGCAGTTTTAAGCCGGCAGATGCGCATATTTGGGTCGCAGTTTTATTCTCGCGGATGAGGGTATTTCGGTGGCAGTTCTAAGCCAGCGGGTGAGGATATTTCGGTGGCAGTTTAAGCCAGCGGGTGAGGATATTTCGGTGGCAGTTTCAAGCCAGCGGGTGACGATATTTCGGTGGCAGTTTCATTTCCGCGGGTGAAGATGTTTCGGTGGCAGTTTTAAGCCAGCAGGTGAGGATATTTCGGTGGCAGTTTTCAGCCAGCGGGTGAGGATATTCCGGTGGCAGTATTAAGCCCGCGGGTGAGGATATTTCGGTGACAGATTTAAACCAGCGGGTGAGGATATTTCGGTGGCAGTTTTATTTCCGCGGGTGAGGATATTCCGGTGGCAGTTTTAAGCAAGCGGGTGAGGATGTTTCGGTGGCAGTTTTAAGCCAGCGGGTGAGGATATTTCGGTGGCAGTTTTAAGCCAGCGGGTGAGGATATTTCGGTGGCAGTTTTCAGCCAGCGGGTGTGGATATTTCGAAGGCAGATTTAAGCCAGCGGGTGAGGATATTGCGGTGGCAGTTTCAAGCCAGCGGGTGACCATCACCCGCTCTATAACACCTCGATAACACCCGATAACACCTCGATAACATGTTTTCGAGATGTGTTCGAGATGTTATCGAGGTGCTATCGAGTGTGATCGAGCTCGATAACGCTCGAGAGCACCTCGATACCACTCGATGACACCTCGATAGCATGAGGTGTTATCGATGTGTTATCGAGTGTTATCGAGCGGTGGCAGTGTCAAGCCAGCAGGTGAGGATATTTCGGTGGCAGTTTTATTTCAGCGGGTGAGGATATTTCGGTGGCAGTTTCAAGCCAGCGGGCGAGGATATTTCGGTGGCAGTTTAAGCCAGCGGGTGAGGATATTTCGGTGGCGGCTTTAAGAAAGCGGGTGATGATATTTCGGTGGCAGTTTCATTTCCGCGGGTGAAGATGTTTCGGTGGCAGTTTTAAGCCAGCAGGTGAGGATATTTCGGTGGCAGTTTTCAGCCAGCGGGTGAGGATATTTCGGTGGCAGTTTTAAGCCAGCGGGTGAGGATATTTCGGTGGCAGTTTTATTTCCGCGGGTGAGGATCTGTCGGTGGCAGTTTTAAGCCAGCGGGTGAGGATGTTTCTGTGGCTGCATTGATCCAGCGGGCGAGGATATTTCGGTGGCAGTTTTAAGCCTGCGGGTGAGGATATGTCGGTGGTAGTTTTAAGCCAGCGGGTGAGGATATGTCGATGGCAGTTTTAAGCCCGCGGAGGAGGAGAAGGAGGAGGGAGGAACAGAGAATATCTGTGCTCGGCGCGGGCATCCAGCCGCCGCGCGTTGCGTCGTTCGCTTGGTTGGCCCAGCCGACGGCTACGCATCCAGCGCGGTGCTGCGCCCGTATATATGCTCGCCCCTTGACGTGGGGCTGGCGGGGGGCCAAGGGGCGAGCTGTCCAGTGATTGTTCCTCTGTTTTCGGCGCTTTTCGGCGCTCCTCCAGCCTGGAATCTGCTCTCCAGCAGCTGCGCCTCGCTGAGAGCGTTCGGGGGCTGCCTGGATCGTCTCGAACTGCCGCCGGGGAGCCGACGTCTGGGGGCGGCCAAGATTGGGGGGGGAGGGCCTTGAGCTTTGATCACCAGAAAGAATTTCGAGCACCAAGAAAGTAATGAAATTCTTGACGCTTCGCGTGTCCCCACCAGCCCATCCAGAAACGATGCCCATGAAAGTTGACGGGGGGAGAGGAAGAGGCACGCATAGTCAAACAACGAGTGAGGCTTGGGAGGCTCCGTGGCCATCTCGAGCCGCCTTGGAGCGGTCTTGGGGCCGTTTGGAGCATCTTGGGAGCCATCTTGAGCCAGCTTGGGCTATCTGAGCCATCTTGGAAGTCATCTTGGCTCTCTGAGGCCGCTCGGGGGCCTCTTGGGGGCCTGTCGGGTGCCTCTTTGAGGCCTCTCGGGGCTTCCTGGGCCGCTCTTTGAGCCTTCCTGGTTCTCTTGGGAACCCTGGAGGCCCTCTTGGGGCCATCTTGGAGGCTGTCGATCAAAAGAGGGGGTTCCTTCATCTCCGTCCCCCCTCGGGGGCCACGATCCTCGTGAGGGGTGGCAAAAAATGGTCCTCCCAGGGGCCGAAAAAGGACGCTCTGCCTCGTCGCGACCCCCTCCCCAAAAAACCTCAGGGAGGGGAGGGGGAGGGCTCCCCTCCCCGAAGAGAAGAGGGGTTGTGGAAGAGGAAAGAGACCCCCGTTAGAAAACCTGTCGCCCAAAGGGCTGGTAGGACTGGAGGGTTTTCGCGTGTCGGGCCCTGCGAGGCGTTACTCGTTCGACACTGTTTCGATACTTCTCTGGGTGCTCGACTTTTTTCTGGGATGTGGTCCTTAAGTGCGATGGGAGCAACGTAAGCCATGATATCCAGCCGGATCTCATGGCCCCCTCTTCATCCTCGCAGGCGGCCCGTGGCTCCCCCCTCGGCCGGGCACATGCCTCTGGCCATAATCTGCGACCCCCCCTCACAGGTCTGCCCCCTTCCCCGGACCCCCTCGGGTAAAGAGAAAATCATGGCGGGATGTTTTTCGTTTTTGGGGACTTGTGGGGGCCCTTACCGGGGGTCGGTAGCGTCAAAAAACGATCCAGGATGAAAAACCGGTCCTGGGGAATGGGTCGAGGTTTCCAGGGTCGACGTTATGAACACATCAAAACGTCGGGGTTCTGGGTCCTGGGCCGCCCCCGAGAGTTGTCGCCCGAAGGCCAAGGGGCAACCTTATGGGGGGAATAGGCTGAGGGGGGAGCGCATCCACAGTCGGCCCGGATTAGTAGGTCGACCCTGCCAAATCAAGGGTACCTTTGTGTCTTGTGTCTCGCGACCCGTGCCTCCTGCATTCCTACGGCAATGTGGCCCTCGGAAGGGTCTTCTGTCCTCTCCCGTGTCCTGCCCAATCCAGTCCGACTGTACCCCCCCATCGGCCGGGGATCGCCAAAAGGGGCCGCGTGGCCCGCCCTGCCCCACAACCTGCGGGCTCGTCTATCGAGGGCCCATCGCCGATCCACAAGCGATGGATCGCCGATACCAGCTGGCGCCGTCCGTTCGTGTGCGTCACAGGGCATCTGTCTTGGAGCGGCGGGCGTGGCCAACACGGGGCCACACAGCCCCGTTCGGCCGCGGGGCCAACACGGGATCACACCCGCCCCGTCGGGCTCCTCAGGGCTCCCCCCCCGAGGGCTCCCGAGAGGGGTCACACGACATGCTTGCCAACGAGGGTGTGTGACTGCCGCACGTTGGCAACGCCACACGCTGGACGCGGGCAGCTCGATGTTTCCCCGCCCTCCCAAGTGTTCCCCCCTCACGTCGAGGCTTGAGGTGAAGAACACCTTCATAACGGTGGTCCACCGCACTCCCGTGGAGGCGGGCCCGAGCCGTACTCTGTCCTGTCCGGCGGCGCTGCGCCATCGCTGAGGGCCTCTCGCACGCTCTGGGCCAGGCGCCAGAAGCAGGAGAGCCCCTCCGCCTCTGGCGCCTCCCATGGCGCGCTCCGCGCGCCGGGGACGGGGGGCCTGCGCGGACGTCTTCCACCATCACATACAAGACTTGGAGCCGTGCGACGCCATGCCACGCGCTCTGAGCCTTACATATTGCGAAGGCCTTACGGCCTGTGCCGCCGACCCCGAAGGGGGGCAACGACGACGACGACGACGACGACGACGACGACGGCCGCGGCGGCGGCGGCGGCGGCGGCGGAGGCGGCGAACGGCGACGGCGACGGCGACGGCGACGGCGACGGCGACGGCGACGGCGGCGGCGATGGCGACGGCGACGGCGGCGATGGCAACGGCGACTGCGACTGCGACGGCGACGACGGCGACGACGACGACGACGACGACGACGACGACGACGACGACGACGACGACAACGCTCGCGAGCCCTCGTGGCGGCCCGTGTGAGCCTTGGTGGCCCCTCTGGGGGGCCTTTTGGGCCGTGTAGGAGCATCCTGGGGCAGTCTTGGCCCTCTTGGGCCGTCTCGGGGCCGCCTGGAGCGCTTCTTAGGCCATTTTGGGGCGATGTGTGGGACCTCCTTGGGCCGTCTTGATGCGTCTGAGGGCTCGTGGGGGGCGTCTTAGACTTTTTTTTCCTTTTGGGGACGCATCTTGGGCTGCGTTACGGCGTCCTTTGGCTGGCGTGAGGCCTTCTTGGGCCGTCGTGGTGCTCTCTCGGGGAGGACTTGGGCCGTTTTGGAGCCATCTGGTTGGCCTCTTGGGCCCTCTTGAAGCGTGAGAAGCTCGAAAGGCGAGAACTCGAGCAAATCTTGACACAACCTTCGAGGAATCAATGGGTTTGACCCTTTGGGTCTCCCTTATGAGTGCTCTTGGGGCTGATTTGTGGCATCTTGGGTAGCTCTGGAGCCTTCTTTTGGGATCTGATGGTTCTCTTGGGGCTCTCTGGTTGCCTCTCCGGACAGAGGGCGTCAAACGTCGTCTGGTGTTCCCCCTCTTGCGGCTCTTTGAGGCTCTCTTGGGCCGTCTTGGTCGGAGAGGAGGGGGAGGGGTCCCGGGCCCCCCCCCCCCCAGGACCACCCCCAGGCCCCCCCCCCCCCCCGGGCGACCCCCTCCACCGGCCGGCGAACCCACCCTGCAGGACCCCCGCCCCTCCCGACGGGGAAGGGATCAAACGAGAGGGGTTTCTTTCCGACTCGATTGCGACGATGTTCGATCTCCGTATGGCTGGATCGGTTGAGGGGAAGGAGGATGAGGAGGGGGCAGAAGGGCAGAGGGGAAGGGGGAGAATGGCGAACACGACGACGATTACGAAGACGACGACGACTCAGACTAATGGGGAGCGGCGACAGCGACGACGACTCAAACGGAAAAACCTGTCACACATGTCGACAGAGTCGGTGGATTTTATACACAAACCTTGGAGCCGTGCGACGGCATGCCTCGCACATTGAGCCTTGCAGGTTTCCTTGCCCAATCCTTCTGACTGCCTGTTTCCAGTTGCACGGTGGTCTCTTTAACGTACCATGGCAGGTTGTGGCGCCGTGCGACTCAATGCTACGCGCGCTTAGCTGCCATGGCGACATGAGTTCGGATGACGGTAAGCGCCGTCTCGGAACGAGAACGTGATGGGAGTTTATAAGAGGAAGTTTGGTAAGGAATAAACCAAGAACTAAGACGCGAGGGACAACGGGTTCGGGATTGCAAAACGGTGATCGGTCGGCGAACTCCTCTTGCCTGAGGCATTTCGCTTGAGATATCCTCGAACAATGGAGATGTTGAAGGAGTTGATCTGAAACGCTTTCTGCCGAGAACGAGGCCCTCGCGCGAGACATCCTCGGACAACTGAGATGCTGAGTTTGCTCTCGGAAACTCTCGAGTATTCCGAAATGGCCGTTTCGCTTGAGACATCTTCGAACACATGAGATGTCGAAACCGTTGTGTTTAAGATGTGTAAGACGTTTCGGTTGAACCTGAGGCTTTCGCTCGAAACGTTCTCGAACAAACGAGAAGGAGGAGGAGGAGGAGGAGAACGAGGAGGAAGAGGAAAAGAAGGAGGAGGTGAAGGAGGAGGAGGAGGAGGACGAGGGGCAGCAGCAGGAGCAGAAGAAGGAGCAGGAGCAGCAGGATCAGGAGCATGCGCAGGAGCGTGAGCAGGAAAAGGACGAGGAGGAAGAGGAGGAGGAGGAGGACGAGGAGGACGAGGAGGAGGAGGAGGAGGAGGAGGAGGAAGAGGAGGAGGAGGAGGTGGAGGACGACGAGGAGGAGCAGGAGGAGGAGGAGGAGGCGGAGCAGAAGGAGACGGCGGATATGGAGGAAAAGGAGGAGGATAAGGATGATGAGGAGGCGCATGAGGAAGAGGAAGCAGTTAGATGAGGACGAGGAGAAGGAGGAGGATGAAGAGAACGAAGAGGAAGAAGAGGAATACGAGGACAACGAGGAATATGAGGACGACGAGGGAGAAGAGGAATACGATGAAGAGGGGTGTGGATGGGGCAGGGGGGGGAGAAGGAGTAGGATGACGAAAAAAAAGGAGGAGGAGGAGGACGAGGAGGAGGAGGACGAGGAGGAGGAGGAGGAGGATGGGGATGAGGAGGAGGAGGAGGAGGAAGAGGGGGAGGAGGAGGAGGAGGAGGAGAGGAGGAGGAGGAGGGAGGAGGAGGAGGAGGAGGCGCAGGAGGAGGGAGGAGAGGAGGAGGAGGACGGAGGAGGAGGAGGAGGACATGGAGAGTGACGAGGAGGAGGAGGGAGATGCGGAGGACCCCGGGAGGAGACGGCGGAGGAGGAGGAGGCGGCGGAGGAGGAGGAGGTATATGATGAGGTGTATGAGGCGGGGGAAAGACGAAAGAGACAGGGTAAGGAAGAGGAGGAAGAGGCGGAGTTGAGAGGGATGAAAGATGAGGTGAGGAATAAGAGGAGGAGTGTAGTTAGTAGGCGAGGAGGAGGGGAGATCAGGACGAGAGGAGTAGGACGAGGAGGAGGACGAAGAGGTGGAGGAGGAGGAGGAGAGGAGGAGAGGAGGAGGAGGACGGAGGAGGAGGAGGGGCGGAGGGAGGGAGGAGGGAACGTCGGACGGAGGCGGATGTGATGAGGGGAGGTGGGCGGAGAGGAGGAGGATGAGGACGAGGAGGAGGGGAGGAGAGGAGGGGGGAGAGGGGGAGGAGGAGGAGGAGGAGGGAGGGTGGAGGATGCGGATCAGGAGGAGGAGGAGGAGAGGAGGAGGAGGAGGAGGAGGCGGAGGAATGAGGAGGAGGAGGAGGGAGGAGGCGGCGGAGGATGGAGGGGTGGAGGAGAGGAGGAGGAGAGGATGAGGAGGAGAGGAGGAGGGAGATCGGAGGAAGAGAAGGAGGAGGAGGGAGGAAGGAGGATGGTGGAGGAGGAGGAGGAGAGGGAGGAAGGGGTGGATGAGGAGCAGGAGGGGGGTGGAGGTGGAGGAGGAGGAGGGAGGAGGAGGAGGAGGATGAGGAGGAGGCGCAGGATGAGGACGAGGAGGAAGGAGGAGAGGAGTGAGAGGAGGAGGAGGCGGAAAAGGAGGCCGAGGAGGAGGAGGAGGAATAGGAGGAGCAGGAGGAGCAGGAGGAGCAGGAGGAACAGGAGGAGCAGGAGGAGGAGGATGAGGAGGAGGAGACGGTGGAGGAGGAGGAGGAGGAGGAGTAAGATGAGAAACAAGAGGAGGATGCGTATGAGGAAGAAGAGGCGTCGGATATGGAGGGCGAGGAGGAGGAGGCGCAGGAGGAGGAGGGGGAAGAGTAGGAGGAGGAGGAGGAGGAGGAGGAGGAGGAGGACTACGACGAACCTGAAGACTGCTAACACGAGGAGCGCGAGGATGACGAGGAAGACGAGGAAGAAAAGGACTACGAGACGGATGGGGGAGGGGGGACTGGGGAAGGAGGAGGCGGAGGAGGAGGAGGATGAGGAATCGGATGAGGATCAGGAGGACGATCAGGAGGAGGATGAGGAGGAGACAGACGCAGACGATGTTGATTATGGTGATGATGGTGATGAGGATGATGATGATGATGCTGATGCTGTTGATGATGATGACGATGGTGATGATGTGGATGTCGATGATGATGCTGACCCTGCTGCTGATGATGCTGCTGATGACGATGCTGATTATGATGCTCATGATGCTCATGATGCTGATGATGCTGATGATGTCGATGATGCTGATGCTGCTGGTGATGCTGGTGATGCTGATGGTGATGCTGCTGCTGATGATGATGATGCTGCTGAGGAGGGTGATGGTACTGATGCTGATGTTGACGATGATGATGATGCTCATGATGTTGATGGCGATGACGATGACGATGACGATGACGATGCTGCTGATGCTGCTGATGATGATGCCGATGATGATGATGGCGATGATGGTGCTGATGATGATGATGATGTTGATGATGATGATGCTGATGATGATGATGATGATGATGATGATGATGATGATGATGATGATGATGATGCTGATGATGATGATGATGATGATGATGATGATGATGATGATGATGATGATGATGATGATGATGATGACGATGCTAATGATGCTGATGGATGATGCTGCTGATCATGATGATGACGATGACGATGATGGAGAGATGAACGGAAGGAGTGAAGCTGAGGGTGGAGGAGGAGGGGATGCTGTTGAGGATAATGATGACGAGCAGGAGGAGGAAGAGGCGAAGGATGCGGAGGAGGAGGAGGAAGAGGAGGGAGGAGGAGGAGGGAGGGGAGGAGGAGGGAGATAGAAGGGAGGAGGAGCAGGATGAGGAGGAGGAGGACGGTGAGGAGGAGGAAGAGGAGGAGGATGGGGACAACGAGGGAGGAGGAATGCGGAGGAGGAGGAGAGGAGAGGAGGATACGGATGTGAATATGAGGAGGACGATGCTGAGGCGGAGGAGGAGGAGGTGGGGAGGATGAGGAGGAGGAGGAGGAGGAGGAGGAGGAAGAGGAGGAGGAGGAGGAGGAGGAGGGGGGGTGGGGAGGGGGATGAGGAATAGGCGGAGGTAGGAGGCGGAGGAGGTGGCGGCGGAGGAGGAGGAGGAGGACCAGGATGAGGAGGAGGAGGACCAGGAGGAGGAGAAGGCGAAGGAGGAGGAGGAGGAGGAGGAGGAGTCGCAGGAGTTGGAGGAGGAAGAGGAGTAGGAGGAGGCGGAGAAGGGGGAGGATGCTGAGGATGAGGATGAGGATGAGGATGAGGATGATGCTGATGATGATGATGCTGCTGATGATGAGGATGCTGCTGCTGCTGCTGCTGATGATGATGATGCTGATGATGATGATGATGATGATGCTGATGATGATGATGATGATGATGCTGATGATGATGATGATGATGCTGATGCTGATGCTGCTGCTGATGATGATGATGATGATGGCGGTGGTGGTGGTGGTGGTGATGGTGGTGGTGGTGGTGATGTTGATGATGATGATGGTGATGATGATGATGATGATGATGATGATGATGACGATGATGATGATGTCGATGGTGATGATAATGATGAGGATGATGAGGATGATGAGGAAGATTATGATGATGAGGATAATGAGGGTGATGAGGATGATGACGGGAGGGATGGGGAATAGAGGGAGGCTGGGAGAGCAAGGATCTGCTCTGGGGAGGGGGAGGGGAAAGGGGGAAGAAGGACGGGAGGGAGGGGGAGTAGGGGAAGTAGGAGGAGTTCGGGGGGGTGGGGAGGTGGAGAGGGAGGCGGAGGATGGAGAGGAAGAGGAGGAGGAGGAGGTGGAGGTGGAGGAGGAAGCAGATGATGAGGAGGTAGACGAGCAGGAGGAGCAGGAGGCGGATGATAGGAGAGGGAGGAGAACATGTGGTGGGGAGAAATAGAAAATATCTCTGAGAGCCGGAGGAGGAGGAGGAGGAGTAAGGGGAGAAAAGAAAGGAGAGAACAGGAGGATTGGAGGAGGTGGAGGAGGGCGGATGAGTAGGGAGGAAGCAGACGGAGGAGGCGGAGGGGGAGGAGGAGGAAGAGGGCGGAGGAGGAGGAGGAGGAGGAGGAGGAGTAGAGGAGAGTGCGTGTGTGGAGGAGGAGGGCGGATGGAGGAGGAGGAGGAGGAAGAGGGGGGGAGGAGGAGGAGGAGGAGGAGAGGAGGAGGGAGGAGGAGGAGGAGGAGGCAGGAGGAGGAGGAGTCGGAGGAGGAGGAGAGGAGGAGGAGGAGGAGGCGCAGGAGGAGATGGTAGTAGGAGGAGGAGTAGGAGGTAGGAGGAGGAGGAGGAGGAGGAGGAGGAGGAGGAGGAGGTGGAGCAGGAGGAGGAGGAGGAGTAGGAGGATGATGAGAACGAGGAGGATGAGTAGAGGAGGGGGAGGAGGAGGAGGAGGAGGAGGAGGAGGAGGAGGAGGAGGAGGAGGAGGAGGAGGAGGAGCAGCAGCAGCAGCAGCAGAAGCAGAAGCAGGGGCAGGAGGCGGAGCAGGAGGCGGAGGGAGAGGAGGAGGATGAGGATGGGGAGGGAGGGAGGACAAGCTAGGTGCGCTCTCGTCATGTCTGACGTCCTACCCCTACCTCCCATTACCATGGCGTAGATCTCCTTTCTATCCGTAAGGGCTTCGCCCCCTGCCGCCGGCCCCCTCTCTCGGAGAATGGGCCATGGAAGAGCTAAGTCATGAGGCCTTGGCGCTGTCGTGAAGCAGTATCGAAACTTCATGCGAAGCCGATTCGCAATCAGCA